TCTTTATTTTAAGCGGGATATAGAGGAGCGAGAAGTGGTATAAAAAGAGTAAAAATGTATCGCGAAAACTGTCAGAGAGACGCCGCGGGTTTACATTCAAATGCGGTTACCGCGGACTGTAGCGCACATCTAGGTAGTTTGAAGGAAAGGGCTAAAAGGGAAATACAAAGATGAGCCTGTAAAAAATTCATAGGAGTTAACCTTGCCCGGGGAGGAAATTCTACAGGGAATCTTGCCTTTCGTACTGCCTCTCCTAAACGAGAGACAATTTTCACGCACTTTCGCGTAATTAGTTCTCGCGTTTAAATTAGCACTGAAAAATTCGATGATTACGAACGAGAATATCATTTACAATTTATAAGGTAAATGCGAAGTGCGCCGATATTTGATTGTTAATTGGATTCAATATTTATAACAAGCCCGTATGATTAAAATTTGATTTACATTAAATTTTGATTAAAAGCTAACTGATGATTAATGATGGCGCGCAATAACGAATAAATTTCATCGAATCGGGAAGATAAAGTGTCTGGTAAAAAGTATAAATGTGTACATATATAATATCGCATCAGAACAAATACAAATTTACGTCCGTTATCAACCGCTGATAACGCACGAACGAGTGACTAATGGCAGGACACTTACGCGTGGGAACCTTGTGGGTAAACGCACAGTAAAGAAAAAAAAAACGAAAAAAGCGATCGCAATATCGCCGTACCGCGAAAAAACCGAATATTCCCGGATAAAAATGCTAGAACGCGAAGGGTTATACTCGCAGCTCGCGGTCGAGTCACTATTATTCCGCATGATCCGGGTACGTGGAATAACCGGGAATGACGCTAGGAATGCAAAGTTCACGATACGCCACGATTGAAAAATTTCTAAACGGATCCAGCATCCTACATTATGAAAAGTTTCCCTCGGTGAATATACGTATAGTCGCGAGGCTATGTACGACGATTTCTCTCCCTACCGTTCGCCCATCCTCTCTTCCTGGATTCCTGGCGAGCCTCATCAAGTTTTAATATGCCGCCGTGGCCCTCTTCTCGCTAGAGCATCGATAACGCGTCCAAGATAAATAGAAAATGGCAGGGAAACGGTCTCGCCGCGGTGGCCCACCGAAGTCGGGACCAACTAATTGTACCTGTAGACTCGTACAGGGCAGAGTCCCTAAAGAGGGAACGAACCCGCGGCTAGACGAGGACGAACGGGGAAAAAAGAAGCCGAGCGAGAGAGATAGGAAGGACGAGGCTTCGGTATCCGCGCGGCAACGAGATTCCAGTTTCTTCGTTAAGTCGCGAAGAAGCTCGGAGGCCTCGAAGAGAAAGGTAAGTAGACGAAGATCACAGTGGAGGGGGCAGCGGTAGAGAGAAACGAGTCGGAGAAAAGGGAATCCCGAAGAACTGCAGCAACAACAGCAGCAGCAGCAGCAGGAGCAGCAGCAGCGAGCCGTACAGACGAAGGCAACAGCCTAACTCGTCGGAGGTCGGGTCGAATAATAAAATAAAAGAGTACGGTGGACGGGGTGCAAGGTGGTGGCGTGGCCAAAGGTAGAAGAAACTTTCTGCTACGGACTACGGGCTATACGTACACAACACACGACGGGGCCCCACGACCGGCACCGACGTTGCCTGGAAAAAGATGCTTGCGAGGCCCCGACGAATCGAGCCGAGGGCCCGAGGGAGAAAGGGATATCCTCCGACGTTGCCACATGCTCACTGAATTTCCGACCGGTCAAATATAAAGCCCGTCTTTATAAAGACCGCCCCGCGGACACATATACGTGTACTACTCTCTTCTCTACGCTACTATTCCAAACTCGCATCAGATTCTTGACATCTCATTAAACATCGTCGGACTTCAACGAGTCTCTCGGACCCGGGCCAAATAACCAATTCCTTTCGCGAAGAGAAATTCGAAACACTCGAGAGCTTCGTTATTGTTTGTAACCTCGCCGCTGGAAATCGTCAGCGATCGACGATCGGTCGGAACCAAGAATGACTCGTCCGTCCAATGATAAAGCGTATAATGCGTCCCGTCAGAAATTTTTATCGTCATGCGTGACATTTACGACACCGTAACGAACGACGGACCACCAGTCAATCGTTGTTATTATACGGATATACGATTCGAAAGGGAAAAAGTTAATATCGCTCGAACCCGTTGGGACCGTTTCTACACCTGTTGTTTCGATAAAAACTACTTTGCCCGGAATCCTCTATTCTACATCTTTTTACACGCTGTTCTTCGACGTACCAACGACTTCCGTTGGAATCCATTATAGATATCAGAGAAGATCGTCAGTTTCGTTTCCGTGTCTACGATTTAGGGTAACTAATTAGTTGTAATCGAGAGTGCCTCACAGATACAGATATACGCCGTGGCATCGGGAATCATTTATCATTTTCTCGACTTTTTGTCCGACGCACTAAATTACTAGCTGACAGAGAGAGCATTAAGGTACTAAAATACCTCCGTTGGTAAACTTCGGAAAATCATGCCGAGATTAAGCGGCAGCTTTCGGTGATTCGTTATTACAGTCCGCGTGATTTAGAGACAACCCTACTAAACATTCCTAGACTCGAAACTGGTCGGATCTTCGAACTATTACTGACGGAGAGATAATCTCTGGCGAATTTATTGCTCGTATAGAGGATGAGGGAATTTTGGTTTAATCGCACTTGTGCATAAATCACCGACGGATTAACAAAGACTCGTCGCGAGAGAACGCGAATCGTGTCTCGAGAAAGAACGCTGGTTCGAATAGCTCTCGAACGGATCGCGATTCTCACGCTGCCGAGTGTTAGTACCTCGCAATCAACGCCAAAAAGAGTTTCACGAGAGGATCTCTCTCCTCGAATGTGTTCTAAGCGTCATCTCGAGCGCAGTCTCGTCATCCCGGCGCACAAAGCGCGCTTCGTAAAAACCGATCGATGCCCTCGCTAGTCTTTTCGTTAAACGCTTTTTGGCTAATATTAGGCTCAAACATACCCCGTTAATCCATACCAGAAAAAGTGATAATGAAGTGAAAATGATAAATCAATAAGATCGTGATATAAACTATCTGAATGAACCATTAGAATTAAAACACGTTACGTTCCAATCACGGTTTCAGTATGCACGTATGCATGTAATTTTCCATCAAGCGGAAAATTGCGTTGCCATAAATATCCTTAAGAATCTCACCCGATATTAAGACTCTAAAATAGGATTAAAAGTTTCAGTTTCCACTCCTCGATCGATGCTTTCGATCTTGATTAACCTTTCATCGTTTGAACTTTGCCATCCGGGCAAGAATGGGATTATTTTTGCCGCTAAGTATCTTTACCGTGGAAATTGATTCACGTTCAAGGATATAAATAATTGCTGTCATTGAGGAGGCTTCGTCGATCGAACGGCCGAGTTTATTTTTGCGTTACACGGACCGTTGTAGCATATTCATGAAACTTGGTGAATAAGGAACTCGCGTGTCTCGGCAATAACTTGCCATACCGTAACCTATCGTCGAGACGTTCGTCGAGGAAACAATTTTTCTTAGAAATACATACATGGAACGTGTAACATTTTCCCGTTAAATCGTTATCATCGAACCTGAATCGTACGGGTAGGCGACGAAATTTAATTAAAAACCGACCCCGGCGAAAATTACTATCCCCGCCCGTGCAATCAATAGTTGGTGCGATCCAAAACTCGCCCCCAATTCACGGCCTACGGTGATACGCGTTTTGTCAGCGACACGTGCGAATGTTCTTTCATTATTACACCCGTACGCGTATATTGAATTTAAAAGAATGAATAATTTTACCATTGAAGCAGCTTCATCGAAAAATAAACGGGGTAATTATTATTTTATCTCGGTGAACGAGTCACGGTCACGATAACAGCGTGCATAGGAGATGGGCTCGGTCCTGAACGCGAGGCACGTGCTTTTCTTTTGTAAAAAGGCTATAAAGGGGCAGCGGCGAATGGAAAGGCACAACCTGTTACCTTCGCGATATATTATTTCGCGATATCCGGAATAATTCCTATTAAAGCCGCGAAATGGGTCATTTACGGTTAGGAGAACGCGTTTATGCTTTCAGAGCGAACAGGATTACGTTCGAGTGTACCTATGACCTATACGCTTGTTTGCGAAAGAATGCGTTCATCCTGTGATAATAAGCAAAACAAAACAGAGCAATCTATATGTAGCAAAAAAGAGACGAATACAAGTGACGTGACGACGATATATCCCACATCGATTCTCGGGTTTCATTCGCCGAACGACTGTCTTATTGTATCGACAAAATCCTCGCCGCTGGCACTGTACCCGAGACTCTTTGAGGGCAAAGCAACAATGACGTTAATCGGAGTCTACGATTCCGGTTTAATCGTGAAGATAAATCTTGGTACTATTATGTATTATCCGCACGAACTCACTGGTTTTTGAGTGCAGCGCCGGGATACACCCCTCGAATTATAGGCGACCATGCACAAGAGGACGACGAAAAACATTTAGCAACAATAAACTAACATGGGAGGGGTGGTGCGACATCTTTTGCAGCGTGGTAGTAGATCTTCCGAAATTGATCGTGTTTCGCAACGCGCACACTCTCATTACTACTCGCATGTGACGATACATAGTCTTTTCCTCCCGTGGAAGGATAGTGCATGTGCGACCGATCGGGATGCGGACCGACTCGATCCGCGAAAGGGTACGAATTCCTCGAAGGAAAATCGATTAATGGTATCGCCGATGAGCCGCATAGATTGTTTTTGGATGGTCGAGGGTGCGACTAGTCTCATCGAAGCGCACAGTGGCGAAAGTATCGATGGTTCAGTATTGCCGAAGGGAAGAGAAACAAAACGATCGCACGTTCGATGCGCTGTACGATGTACACACACGCAACCGTGAATTAAACCCATAAACCTGACTTGTATATACTGATCGGTCGTCGACATTACGACGACGACGGGATGGTTTAGTTTCTATACGAATATAACTGTTGTATACTACTCACCGATCCTACGTGCAGTATCACAAGTCGAAGGGGTGGAATCCCGCGGACGAAGCCAGGAACCAATATTATCCAGTGTTTGGTCTTGGAGATTCGAGTAGACCGACCGGCACTAGGATGCACGCTCGACAATGGCTGACACACATTAAGTACACTGATGCACTTGCTTTCTATGTACACGCACTTCTTCACCGGGATGTGGACGTACGACGAGCCACCGACGAAGGACGAAAGAGCGGCAGTAGTTCGACACGCGCGAGTTTCATTCACTTTGTACTTACTCGATTAGCCGGTAAATCGTTCCGCGACATTCACCGTTCTCGAACGAAACGAAAACTCGAACCGCCTCCTCTGCTATCCTAGGCCCACGGTGGTGGCCATTACACTCGTCGTCGCCGCAAACGAGAGAGCGTGTTTTGCTTTTTTCCAAGGAGACCAACAACTCGCCCGCTCCGAGGCCGTGGAAGCGACTGTTCTCGGGAGATTCGCGGTGCGGTCTCATCGACCAATCGTCGACGCGCTTTCACCGAGCGCCATCTTGCCTACCCGAATACAAAGGGGCCAAAACCCGAATGTTTGCGTAAACGTCCGAACCTTTAACCAACCCCTACTACCCGATCGACGCGATGTAGCCCTTTACTCTTCTCATTCTCTCCTCACCGTTACTCTTCTCGCCGCTCCACTGCCTTATCTCATCCCTAATTTTCAATACGGACGTTATTGTTAGATTATTCCGCCCCTTCTTTTTTCCACTTCGCATCAACTGATTCAAAACTAAAAATCGCATTTTCGGCAATCAATCTTAACCTTAGCAGACCTCGTCACATTATTTCTCACTTCGTTCCGGAAAATAGAACATTGTTTACATCGTAATTCTATCAATTGTTCTAGCGTTAAACAATTCCGAAGCCGCTAAAGCGTGCTCTGGTACGCCTTTAAATTCCACGTTTAGGACTTTAACCGTATTGTCTTTTAGAATACCTCGTTAAATGCATTAACATCACGGGATGATTTACAGAGTAATCTATCGTACGACATTTAATGTACAATCGAATGAATTCAATTTGAAACTAATGTTTAACGAAAATAATGATAAAAAGAGAAGCTGTATACCTTCGTAAATTGTTCTCAAAATGTTATGAAAGTACCGGTAGCGTCATCATTGGAGAGAAAAGAGGAATCATACTCTGCCGATAATATACAAGCAAGAACCTTTTAGGTTATAATCTACGAAGCGAAATTATTTTTCTGTTGTCTATTAATAAAGTTCCTACAGTCTGCTAAACGGCCTTGTATTAATAATAATTGTACCGTACATTCGTAGCTATATTTTCTTGACAGTGACAAATAAAAGATTCGTTCAACAATGGAAGAAACAAGTCACGAGAAACGCAAAACTTGGACTGATGAAGAACGATTGGAACTTGCCGCGAAATTAGATGCCGAATTAGACGAATATATCAACAATTTAGAAAAGAAACAGTATACCGAAGGATGGCCAGAAGATCGATGGGAAGAGGAAATGGAAAAGCATCCTTTTTTTATGAAAAAGGCGCCAGAACCCGGAGAAGAACTCTCTCCCTTGATGGAAGGACTGCAGCAACTGAAGTACGCAGAGGACGAAAATACGCCAGAGGGTTCGAATTAATTTATTTACGAGTCTGTTGACATAAATTAAAGCCTGCAGCTGTTGACGAAAGTCTGCATGTTTCTTATAGAACTTGCAAATAATTACAAGGACGATGGAAATTTCAATTACAAATATAAAAAGTATAGATTAGCTGTTCTAAGTTACACAGAAGGTATAAAAACCAAGTGCAAAGATTCTGATTTGATGGCTCAGCTGTATAATAATAGAGCTGCTGCACAACTTATGTTAAAGAATTATAGGTATTATTTTTAATGGGATCAAATATGTTCAAATCTATTTTGTGGCAATGTTGTTAATTTTTCTTTTGTATAGATCTAGTTTAAATGATTGCAAGCTTGCTTTGAAATTGAAACCAAATTATGTAAAAGTTTTAAACAGAGCTGCTACTTGTTGTTTCCATATAAAAGATTACAATCAATGCATAGATTTCTGTGATCAATTGCTCAGTGACTCTCCTACTGACAAAACGATATTAAATTTCAAGTCTCAAGCAATGGATGCCAGAGTAAGATATATTTGTGAACATATCGTTATTATATTATGCATATACGTGTACTTGGAGTTACAAAATTTGCAGGAACATTTAAAAAGAGATAAAAGAAAGCAAGATAGATTAGAAAAGAAATTAGATAAAGAAGAACAAGAATTGATAGATATCATAAAGAACAAGGGGATTAATTTAGAATTAACAGAGGGGAAGAGAAGTCCTGATTTAAAGGACTTGGAACCTCAAGTGCCGCAGATAGCACAGAGTAGGGTTCACTTGGATGAACACAATAAGCTTATTTGGCCAGTAATGATTTTATATCCAGAAACGCAACAGACTGATTTTATACAAAATTTTCACGAGGACACAACGTAAGTTTTGACAATAAAAATTCGTAATTGAACCGATAGAAAACCGGGAATAAAAATTCAGAGAGTAAATCTATTTGTTCAGACTGTTAGAACAATTGGAACTATTATTTACCGAACCACCGGAGTGGGATTCAAAAAAACGTTATACTACTCGGAATATAAATGTTTACTTTGAAGGCAAAGATAAATGTTCGTTGCATAAAGTAAACTATCGACATACTCTGGGGGAAATATTGAAAGATCCGCGGTAAGTTCGTAAATTATAACGCAAGCCATCGTTAAAGTCGCGATCGAATGTAAAATAAAAATTTCAGATTCATCGTCCGCGGCGGAACTCCAGCGTTTTTGATATTCGTGAAATCCAGCGAAGCGGAGAAGCGATTTTTAGCTAACTATTGAATTATTATAAATAAACTTAAAAAAAGGAATTACCTGAAAGAGTGTTATGTTCTTTTTCATCCCCCCAAAACGATTAAAGGAAAGAGATTCATTTCGTAACGAGAACGGAAAGAAGGGATCCGATGGCGGCAAGGTTCAGGACTGTGTGGTGGTGCCACCTGCAACACCTGCCGGAGCCAGGTGGGCAGTGGGCATAAAGAGTTGGGGCCTCAGTAAGAAAGTCCGGGCTCCAGTCCGATAGACGCTGTAGAACCTGCGAATACGTTCGAACGTAGGACGTTCTCGCGGTCGCCTCCCGCGAAATTGTGCTAATTAGACAAACAGAAAAGTGTCGAGTTCGTGCCAAGGATATTACCGAGAACATCGGGAATCGGTGAACGTCAAAGATCATCAGGTTGAAGTTTGAATCGTGGAACAAGAACGAACATTGTAGCGTGGGAGAGAAGCGGAACCGGACGCAAACGATGCCAAAGCGATGCAGGCAACATTTTTTACTTGATCTTGCTTCTTGTCCCAATAATTTTCTCTTCGATCGTAGATCGGTAGCGTTCACCTCTAATTCTACTTAACGTTTAGATCAGAAAGAAGAACGACAACGATAGATTCTATCTCTTATAAGTAATAACTTTGTTCGAGTTTGATCTGACACTAATGTGTATCTATTCGCGTTCGTTGAATAATGAGATAGATCTACGTTTCTCGTTCCTGAAATGTTTAATCTAGGATTTTTGAGCGAGATTAATCCTTTTGCATACGGTTTTGCATGCTTATATTTCGTAACCTTTATTGCCCCGCGGAGTGATTATACATATGCAGATTCGTTTAAACATTGACCAACGTGCGATTGCATAGGAATGGGGTTGCACCGATATCGTCAGATCGATAAAAATCGCTCGTTTCCGGGCTTAAAGATTTTTTCGAAAACAAAACACGATCGCCACGATTGAACGAACGGGAGAATAAAGAAGGACCGCGTTCACGAAGTGAATCAGTGTCGGATACGCTACAACTGACGTGATGTTATTAGTACATACCGATGAGACAATGGCGCGCGTTAAATTATTCATGAGGTCATTGTTGCATCGTAACGCAGATTCAAACGTCGACCAGTTTGAACCGTGATGAAACCGTTGCCGTTCGACTCGCCGAAATTTGATCGAAATTGCGAACGATTTCCATCCCGTTGATCCTATTGCGACTCGCGATCGGTGATACGTGTCGCGATCAAATTAATCGTGTCGAGATCGGGAGTGTTACGGTGCTCGTGCGTCTCGTGAGAACAGTTTCGTAATGGAATTATTTCTGGAAGAACCGTAAGGAAATTACGCATCCTACTGTAATTACGTATACGTGCTCTTAACTGCCTTTCTCTCATCCTTCCTCCCCACTATCATCTTTCCGTCCTTTTCGTCCTTGCAAAATGGTTATCCCGTTCGATGACAAGAAAGAAAGGGAACACGAACCGCGCATCGATCGGATAAAATTAAATACTCTTTTTATCTCGATTCCAGTCACGTCCTTCAAGATAAAATTGACTGTAACACGCTCTCTGCAACGCTTTTATGCCTGTCCGTACGCGTAAACGTCGCACGGACAGTTCGATCGGCATAAACAATTTTTAACTCCGCGACCATCCCGATAATAGGATAATTCGAGGAACAAAAATAAATTCGCATTCAATGGATCGAATGTAACACGTTGGTAAATTTATTATCTCAGAGATAGCGTTAGACGAGCTGCTGCGAGAGGAGAGGAGAGGAAACGGGTTGGTTTCACGATGGTACGCCGCTCGGTGGGAGACTGTTACGTGTCCTAGTTTCACGGTGGACCACGACCACGATCCTCGATGCATCTTTGTCCGATGCCCCGAAGCAAATGACCGGGTGGGACACGGATACGGGCACGGGCACGAATACACGTCGATGGAGTTGCGTCAGTTGGATAAGAAAAATCCGCGAGCCGATCCCGGCGACCGGTTGTAACCGACGAGTCAATCCGTTCGAAGGGGGGGAAAAAAATACCCGGGATATATCGTATGCGAGCGAGCTCGAGTCGCGTTGCGTTCGGAGAGACATACCGAAGATAGCTATCTCGGGGCAGTGCAGCCCGGCAAAAAGAGAAATTCTACGGTAGACGGAACGGTTTACGTTTACGAGTACTGAGAAAATATACCGTGCATCGTGCGTACGCGCGATTGCGTGCGCGTGAAATTCGATAAACCGCTGTTACAACATTCAGTCTCTTTTTACGCGTGTCGCTATAAAAGATACATAATGTGTTTTAGTCGCTTAATACACGATACCCGCCTGATTCTAATCGTGCACATGTGATTTATTCTATTAGGTACGAAAAGCAATTCTATCGTTAAAATTAAACAAACGTCTCCCCGCGCGTAATCACTGCACTTTCTCTGTTGCTCTAATTATTTTCTGTATACTTAAATGCGATCGTGGCGCACGCGAAAATAACATCTCCCGTTTATCTCTCGACTGTCGTGCACCTCGCAGCGGTTCGGTTAATGAAAGTGTTGAAAAAAGGAACGAGAGAAAGTAGAATGAAAATATCGGAACGATGCTTTTCCCAAACCACTTCGTTCCGGGCTACCTTTTGTCTCTGCCTCCCTTTCTTTTTTTGTTTTTATTCGAGAAGAAATGATCGAGAAACAACGAGGAAAACAATGTCTCGATAGTGGGCAACGCTACAATAGAATTACGCTATAATGTGCGTCCCATCTCATGCAAGACTGTCACGAGCAGACAGATTCGGATCGTCGCCAAACCCTTTCTCTTTGTCAGCCCGCATCTCCCGTTTCCTTATTTTTTTGTCTTTCCTCGATCTCTATTTGTTTCACACCAGATTGTACGTGTGAAAAGAGAGTAATTGCGATTAATCAGAAGATTAGATATTAAACTATTTCATTCGTCGTCGCTATGTTTTGCGCGGTTAAGCTTCAGATAAGTTCTTCCGTCAGCAATTTCATAATGAAATTCTGTGAAAAATGAGAAAGTGTCCTCGGCTACTTTTGAGGAATGGCATGTAGGTACACGGTCTAACGACATTCAGTCGAGCTCATCGCGCCGCTTCTCTACATTCGGTCACACGTATTCTTATACGCTTCCTTCCTCCCTTCGCTGTTCCATTACTTTTGCCAATTTCTGAGTCTCCTCACCCGCGCCCCTTTGTTCCCTCACCTTTTCGCCGCGTTCTTTGCTGTCAGCTCCCTTTCCTCTGTTCCACGTCTTCTTTTTTCGCTTTTCCCCCGACGCCCGCTACTATCTTCCTTTTATAACCGCGGTCTCTTCATCTCCGTTGTCTATTTTGTACCCCCAGTTCTTTCACTTCTCTGTTCGTGACGGTAACTAAGAATCATCTTTAAATCCTGAATATTTATTGGGCGAATAACTCGAATTAATTTCAATCGTTCCGCCCGCTCGTAATACCGCGTCAATTTCCAATTAAGGAAATAAATTGCATAACATTGATCCTTGTGTAACCGTTCTACTCTTCTAAAGAGAAAAGGAACGTTGCTAATCAACTTGTAAGATAGATTCTGCGGGCCGTTATCGCTTTACATTAGCATAACTGGTATTAACGTCAAGGTCTGGCGGTGGCTAATTTTCATCGATGATTTCACGAACACCCGTGTGTGTCAACTCTCGAGCATTCGAGCACCGCAGCACTCGAAGCGGTTAAGTGATTCGCGAAAAAACGACGCATCCGCGGCAGCGCGAATGCAATATATCACGTTCGCGCAATTGCTGCTCCAGTTACGTCAAGAATACTACTCGGCTGGCGTTATTCACGAATACCAGCGTAAACTCATTTCGAGGGCGTTGAAAAGTAACTGAGATAAAAGAAGAAAAACGCGATTAAGCAACGGCGTTGATCGTCCTCGCTTTTGACGCATCAAAACGTCGGGCTTGCAACTTTATAAATAATTCGTGCGACGAATGCGTACATGTCGCGTTTTGATAACATCGTTAGACAAATCGTCGCGCGAGGTACTTTTTATTCATTCAAATATACATGTAAATGTCCGAATATATGTATGTCCACGAGTCCACCAGTCGTTGGAAGTGGTCGGTCCACACGAGCCTCGAATCTTATCTACGTTCCTTCTTCTTGTCCTTCTATTGTCGTCTTGTTCGCACAGGCTACACCGCTTAGTTTTACTCAACTGCGCGCTCGAATGACGAGCGATTCTTCGTTTCCATTGTAACCGCAGCTACCTATCGCCGAGACTTACGAGGACCGCGTATTGTTTACAGTTGACAGAACGCGGAACGGCGAACGAGAGAGAAGAGAACGATCGAGCACGCTGAGAAATCTGGAGAAGAATCGGGAAGCATCGTAGATACAAAATTACGGGACGTCCGGCACAATAAGTTCCAGTAAAAAGAGGAAGAGAAAAGTGGATGGAGAAGCAGGCACGATACATGGCTTGACACAATTTCGAGGGACGCGCGCACGAATACCGATCGTTCGTCGCAGATTCTGTAGTTTATTACAAGACCGAAGATCGAACGCTGTTCGTTCGACTTTTATACTTCTCCTCTCTCTCGATATCTATGTACACGCGCGTAGGTACCTATGTAGCGCGCTTACCTCCAGAGTCTTCGAGTATCACGGCACATGTCTTCGAGCAAGGAACACAGACGGAATTTAAGCTTTTTACGATTTCACCGGAACGGACCGTGGCCCAATTAATGCGATTACCATGCGCAGGAGGACGTTGAAATTTTAATTCGCGCGAGGGACAGAGAGTTTAACGTTTAACTGTGAGGAGGTCTCCTCGTGTACGTAAAGTGGTCGTTAAAAATAATACGGTGGGAAAAGGGAGGCGAGCGCGTGTACGTATCTTCGGCATGACACGAAAATCGGGGGAATATTCATGAAAAAACACGCTAAGGGAAGCTCGACTTCCGAAGGACACTCCCTTTATCATTCAAAGCAGCTAGAAGGAAAACGCGCGTGCACACAAAGGACAACGACGGGGCGTTTCACCGTTACATGCAAATAGAGCGTTTGCAGGTAACTCGTGGTCGGCAGCTTGGAAAACTTTCAGACACGTCTATGCGCGTACTTAATTGACAATTAAGCGGGAAAGAAGAAAGGAAAGAGAAAGAGAGGGAGAGAGAGAGAGAGAGAGAGAGAGGGAGCAATTTTCTCGTTTAGAGAGAAATAGCGAGGCTCCACGGGAAAACAATCTCTGCCGCGCGCGGTGTGGACGGTCACGGTGAAAAATTCAATTGCGGTCTTGAATCACTTCCCCTTGATAAAGAATCGCCCTGGAAGGAATTTCCGTTCGTACGCCCGAACCGTTTCCCTTCCCTTGCCTATCTTCCACGGGAACTTCTGAAAGAATAACTAGTCCCGGCTTCCGCTCGACGAGATCTGGATCCAACAGAAATTTATAATTGATAGACCATCGGATTCCTCTTTCATCGAGAAAGAAGCAATCGCGATCTTCGGAGATCGTTTCGACGAACCGAGAGAGCGATCAATCATTCAGACACTTGTTACGCGACGCTCGTCAAAAAGAAAAACGCGTCCCGAGTTCAACTACGATCTCGCAAACAATCGGAGAGAACTGATTCTTGTTGCTCGCTGTAAACCGAGACGCGATAAAAATGACTTTTATCAACGCTAACGAACGAGAAGCCAGGTAGAAGAGAATCGAGTCAAACGCGGCAACAGGTCGAGAACATTTAAATAGAGCAAAACGAGACCCTGTCCGACGCGTGGCGGGTCAATTTTCTTCAAAACGGTGAAAAGCAACTCACGAAACACGGCGAACCACTACGGGATCCACTACACGGGCTCGTACGCGTACAGCAACGGAGCACCGAGCGTGTACAGCAGCTATCCGGCGCACCACGGTGGCTTCGTTCAGCCCCATCTCCATGAGGATTACCGGCCGATTTACTTTTACGTAGCCCAGCCGTACACCATACCATATACGTTCGCCAAGAGACCAAGACCGTCCTCCTCGTCGCTCCTCAGGACCGGGAAACCACGTCGCGTAAAATTCTCCAAAAACCAGGACTTCGCGCAGAAGATCAAGCAGGGCGAGTTCTCGAGGAGCCTCAGCCAGGTGCACTTCGTCGAGAATCAGGGACAAGGTATGCATCCAAGCAGTAACTTAGTTTGGATAGTTCGCGATATACGTGATACACGAAAATTGTACATAGCACGGTCGAGGGGATGAAAAACGTTTGTAGAAGCACGGACGAGTCGCTTTCACGCCCGTGGATTTTTCTAGCAGACCGGATAATTGTTGCGAAAGCGGCATAGTTTCTGTGGCATAATTTAAATAGTTGCCGTCGTCGAGTAGACTACTACTACTACTACTATTACTACTACTAGCGATGCCCACGCGGACAGTGGTGCAGCGTCTTGCGTTCCGCGTCCATATAGAAGCGCGTGCAAAGTATTCGTCGTATCCATGGTTGCTTTGCTGAAAAGAGAAACCGCTTCGAGAGAAAGGAACGTTTTCCAAATATGAAGCGCCATTCCAATGAGCAGACCGGCGGCGCTTCGTATTTGGGCGAGAGACACGCACTGTCTCTGAATAGTTCTCGCATAGAAGGAAACGAATGGAAAAAACCTTTGTGAGCAGTATTTAGACCTCGCGTCAAACGCGTTTCGTAGCGAACTTGAAAGCGAGTTCGCGTTAAGAGCGACATTTTCTCTCCGGGCACCAATTGCGATTTAAACGTTCGCGGAACCTCTCGTTCATCATTGTTGATAGAAAACGCACTCGTTATGCGCATCCCAGCTGCGTTTAGCAAAGTTTAATTACGTAGAGGAATGCACCGTGCGCGAACTTGTTTCCTGTCACAGTATAGAAACTTCATTGAAGTTCCAAGGCTCGGCCACCACCACTACCCCCTTTGGCCTCGCCTCGGAATGAACGGAATGCGGGGGGTCCTCGCATCCGGTATGACTCTCCACTTCTTTCGCTGCTCCTCTGTTCAGTGATCTCAAACTATCCGAAGGCTGGTCCGGCCCGTGATCCAAGGATGACGTCTATGTTCCGGAGGGGTACCATCTTCGCGACGTTCTTCCTCTCGCTGCTGGGCGGTGGCTTGGTCTGCGCTGCTCTGGTCACCCAACACTGGGTAGAAGCGCGACCTCTGAGGACGCCGAACCCTCAAGAGAGCGCCGGCCGGGTCCACTTCGGGCTTCTGCAGGGAAAGAAGGAACTGAACGTCGCCTACGGCTGGAGAACTTATCACATATCCGGTATGTTATCAAACGTACTACAAGTCTGTTCGTTCATCGACTTCGTACCCTTGAATCGAAGGTCTTTAAAAGAGAAGGTAAAAGACGTGCTGGTGCGCGTCGTCGTGAACCTCGCCAGCCACGATCAGTACTCGATTCAATTTACGAGCAGACTCATCAGTTAAAACACCAGCCACGTAGTTTTTCAGCACGATTCGTGCACTGGACGCGTATACTCGTCCGTTAAATTATTCAATCCGTCCCTCGACGGCTAATCTTAGTTTCTGACGAGTTTCTTACCCGCGCAACATGTTTTACATAACTATCCTTCGCCGTGGAACCGATCTCTATCACGGGAAGAAACACCGAGCACAATGGCCCGAGTCTTCAGCCGCGCAACTTCCGTCGACGGTAATCGCCTAATCGATGATTAATCGAGATCCTTTTTTTCGCTTTGCTCGATGACCCCATTATACATAGTTATAACGGGCAACGAATAATTAATTACCGATTCACCCGGTATACTCTATGTTGTACGTAGTAGACTTTGATTTTCGCTGGTAAAATTTAGCATACGGCAAACCCGGGTAACACGAGTTATCGTCGCGGAGAACCGCACAGGGAAGATTCTCCGGTGCTTGAGGGGTACTCCGGCGCGATACTGGGGCCATAAATTCAATCGGATAGTCGGCCAGACCCGAGAATCTCATTCGGCATAACTGTACCTGCACGCGATTTCTGCGGTAGATCGTGAGTTGCGCGCGTATCACCCATAAATCTATCATTTGATAATCCTCGCGTTCCGATCGGTTTCGTTCGTTCGGATCCCATTTCGTTTAATGATCGCGAAATCGTGGTAACCCGTGCCCATGAGAAATCCGCCGACCTATTCGTCAACGCGCCTAAACGTTCCTATTCCTCTATGTATGTATATCTATGCAGTACGTTTCTGACCCGAATTGCGTCGTGATTAATCACGGGAATACGAATCTTGCCGAGGTACAAAGTTTCAGTCTCGACAGTCGCTATGAATGTTGCCGCATTCTAGACGTAAGTTTACTTTTCATTATATATAAACGACGAGAGTTGCTCGCATCGCGTGTCCCGATATTGAATTATTCTCGTTATTGTCCGAGGAAACTGTTATCATGCCATAAGCGGTGACCACGAGCCACGATGCCGGCCAGGGGCACTCGACCGAAAATACCCGTTCCCTGTTTTAGCATCTTACCCCCTAACCGATTTCTGAACAAACGTTCCGCTAGTTGGAAACGTTCGAGCAATAATACTTCTGCTTGATGAATCTCGATTCATCGAGCGATCGACTATCGGAGATTTCTGTGATTTATCGAGCGACTGGCAGTCGGAGATTTCTGTAAATCGAAAGGATGGTCGGATAATCGAGAGGGTTGCCAGATGCTTTGCATCTGTGCCAGTGATTTTTTTTGTAACTTCGTATCAGACATCTCGGAATCCAATTTCATCGCGGCGTTCCCTGCTCCTCGCGAGATATCCGTTTTTGTACTAGAAACCGTTCTCCGTTGCATTCGCAATTCGACGAGATAGTATTTTCCCGCGCGCGCTTCCGTTCGTTCCCAAAATTCCCAATCGCCCGAGTCTAAGGTCTAACTTTAAGCGGAAGTTCGTATTCCGGCCTCGAAGTCTCCGGCATGTAGGTCGGATAGTTAACGAAGACGAACGCGAAATCCAATAATTTTGATAACTCGGTTACGAATTAATAGAAATCGTATCCCTTGTTCAATTTATACCATGTAGAACGCAATTATTTTTAACGGGAATTTCGTGTTACGCTGCTCGACAACTCCGAAGTTCAATGTACAGATTGGAGAACCTATGGAAATTAGAGAATGTAGCGGAACGGTAATTGGACCCTCGTGGCTAAGTAGTTTGACCCAGTGGCAACCAAGTGTCGAATATCAACCGCGTTGCAATTCTTATCGCAAACGATTCTCGCTTTTGGCCGATATGTACTCCGTCTTCGAAAACCACGAATAAATATCGATTGGTAATCGCGTTAAGAATATTCTTCTATAAGAATATGATTTGTCAACGAAAGTCTGTCCCGTGTTTACGTCGGATAAAAATAAACCGCGGCCGCTGACCAGGCTGGCCTAGAAAGTGGTGTCAACGATGATGCTCCATCGGAGATCGCGGCATAATAAGCCCCGTTAGTTGGCTATCGTAGCTCACTATCGCGTTCGCTGCGAGAGTAGTGAGCTCCAGCCACCGAATCGAAATCAGATCAGGTTCGAGTCGTGCTTTGAAGAAAAACAATACGGACACGCGTCGCAAGAAGAAACGAGCGTTTCTCCCTCGCCGTGGGATGGACTGGTCTTTAGGGACGTGCGAGGAACGCGTGCATGCTGGTTCGATTACAATCAGCTAGACTGCGGAGTATCGTACAATATCTTGCTAAAGTTTTCCAACGTCGAAACGACTAATAATGTAACGTCCGTTTCTCGGTTCCGATGTTCGAAACTTTTGAACGACAGTGTACGTGATTACTGTACCTGACTCGTGTCTCCTCGCGAACGTGAGGTCAATAACAGACTCTTTGTTTTATTGTACCTGCGAACGACGAGACCATTGATATGCGTGTCGCGATGAAATCGGCGTAATCGTTTATTAGTTCCGCATCCACCCTCCCGGCGTCGTTCATTGATAATCAAAGAAAGAATTAATCACACCGATACACGCGATTACCTGTTCGTGTTTCCTTTGATCGTTCATTCAACGCCGAACGCTTTGCAGTAGGCGAGTTACGACAAAAGCGAACGTTAGTTGCGCGTATTGTTCTCTGTGAATGATGCTCGTTTTTCGTGTAATTGTAGCAGATTAGAGGTAGACTTTTTTTCTTTCATTTTTCTCACCGATCATAGGTCTTCTGTTGGTAGTTAACAGTTAGAGGGTTTCTACGACTATTAATTGGTGAAACCTTGTTAGAACAAATTCGTAGATCCTTGCGGATTCGGGAGTAAATTCGGTTAGGCTTCGAGTTGAGGATTTTAAAGCTTGCGATTGTACCTAAACAATCGTCGAATTTTGTATTTCGCGTACAACCGGATTACTCGATTGCGAGAGTCCAATTCCTGGTTGGGGATTTAATTAGCGGCAAAAAGTTTCGCGACACCGAAAGAAGGAGCGGTTGAATAGAGAGAGAGAAGAAACGCGGGCCCGAGGGAAAGATCCCGCGAGCGTTCGTAACAATAGAACCAGAAACTGGTTCCCGAGCTCGAGCGAGTCTACGCGCGGATACAAAAATTCACGACCGTTCCTCGTGGTCGACTTTCACGTGTTCGTATCGCCGATTCCTGACCACTGCTACGGGAACGTTAAAATTAAAGTCCCTTTGAGAACTTTCTCGGATACGTAGGTACGTAACGTGTATCGCGTTTCTTTGCTTTCGTGTCTTGTGCTACTTGGATATTATCTTTCAAAACTTCATTTTCTTCCTTTTTACAAATTTAATTCCTGTACTTCTGCTCCTTCGGTATGGTTAATAAAATGTTGGTACCCGAGGACGCGCAGATGGAATTTATATAATATTATTTCATAAGGAAAAGAGAACGATATAAGATTAAAGTCTGGGGACAGTATCTCCTGAGAGAGATTCCTCGGATGTCTGGTGTTTCGTGGACGCAAGCTGTTAACTCGGCGAGATTTGGGAGAACCCCGTCCGACGCCCGAGGCTAATTAAATAGCCCGTTATTTGCGGTGCAATATAACTTGAACTGGCCAAAGCGAGAGTGTTTATCGTACGTTTAATTATTTATTACGCGCTACGATAACTTTACCGGGATCCAGCGTGCGATTCGGTTTACATTTAGTTGCTGGGAAAAGGTGAACTTGGAGTGTTGATGAAATTTTCTCGACGGACGCTGGTACTAAATTAATGGCACGCTAATGAAACGCCGCGTTATTTCGTTGCGTTGTTTTACTTGCGATTTTTACAAATTAATATCTAACGGATATTTGCATGGTTGAATGTGAGTCAGTGATCGCGAGATAATCAGGACCGGGTCATTGATTTTTACTGGCTGGCGCTAACAGGGCAGAAAGAGAGCCTGTTATTAAAGTTACCGGGATAAAGCGATCGTTCGTTTGTTCGTCTCGTTCCAGTGCCTCAAATGATCAAGCAAGACCCGACGGTGATGTCCTGGGGCCTGTGGATCAGCACTTTGACGACGACCTCGGCTGCTCTCGTCACCGCTGCTCTGGCTGCTCTCCTCGCGGTTCTCAACACAGCCACTTCCCCCAGGTCAAAGATCCTCTCGGATCCCGGGGTGTACTTCATCAATATCTTAACGCGTAAGCGAAACGAAGCGAAGATATTCGAAACTCTCTTTAGGAAAAATGTGTGTATCGCATCGTAACTGATATTCCCAGTGTTGATGTGCATGGCGAGCACGAGCACCTGGTTGGCACAGTATTACACGAAGCTATACTTCAATGTGCTTCCAAAGGAGGACATCGACAATATGTGGACTAGCGAAGGCTCCGCCGAGCTTGGTTATTCATTTTGGTAAGAGACTTCTTTCATTCTTCTGGCCGGTAGCGAGGATGCATTCATCAATAACAAAAACTCTCGGTCGAGCTTCACCGATGATCCTCGTGGAGTCGTACCTGTTGGCAAGTTTTATGCACGCCATCCGATATCCGTGGACGTTTTTCGATTTCCAGTAATGCTCCCGGGGTTCTTTTCACGTCGAGAATAGGAGTAGCGAGTACGAGAATAATCGCGGCTTCGAATCGTCACAAGTTTCGCTTCACTCCTCGTCGAGACGCACAGTAATATTTTATTTAACAACGGGGAAAATAGAATAGAACCCGGAGGAGAATAAATTGGATTTTAGAAGACGCGTTACGATTCGCCATGTATTGTTGTTTCAGGCTGGTGGTGTGTGCCGGCGTGGTGCATTTAATCAGCATAGCGCTGGTCGGCTGGGGCTCAGGACGGGACAAGATAGAACGACTAGAGACAATTCCGGCGCTGGAGGAAAAGACAGCAGCGGCAATAATGCTGTATTGAACACCAGCGACTCCCGAGAGTCGGACTCAAAGACGGGAGAAAGAGAGATCCATCAGAAGAATTGCATTTTGTACGGAGTAACGCTCGCGTGTCTGTCTGCTCGCACGTCTGTCCGCGGCATGTCGACGACGTGGAGAGTGCAGAGTCGCAGAAAAAGCCGGAGTCGATTCGGAGGAAAGCAGACCGCGATATTTTCTGCTGTTTTTCGAGAGGCGACAAGTTCCTAGATGTCTATTAGCACGCTTAGCATCGTAGCTTTAAAAGGAAAGGAAGAAAACGGGCACGTTAACGGGATTCGAAACCATCGTACGTCGTCGAACTCGAAATTGGAAAAATTCTTCGTAGGTAGTTTCAGTTGTACGATTCAATTACTGCACGATGATACACACGCGAATTCCTTTCGGAAATGAAATAAATATGAATTATACATCGACGCATGGAATCGAAATTAAAATTTCGTGAAATCGAGCGCAAGAGGGGATTGCGATTTCCAATCGATCGGAACATTAGTTTCTGGTCGAATGTTTTCCATTTTTTGTAAAAAAAAAGCAAGAAATGTAGTCACGAGATTCTCAGACTGCTGAAATTATCGACAATGGAAATCAGGCCCGTGTTGTAATTAATCGTTCCCGTGCGAAATTGCATCGTAATATCGCGTGATTCGAAACATTCTTAATAATTTAGCACGCGTTTGACAAAGTGTGCGCTACGTACGATTTGGCTGTAACCCTTTTTGAGAAGTATTTTGTTATAGCCATAAAGCCTTGCTATATCTTTACTATTCTTTTATTCTCTACTTTTTACAGATGTTTGTTAATCCTTATTCGATCGTTTAGGAACTTCCAAGCGCTTCTCGCGTACAATACGATTAACAACTAGAATCGTAAGTATAGCAAATATCTTGCCTTTTAGCTGAACGAAAGCAAAAGAAAGGATGAGTTCGTTAGTAAAACAATGCGTTCATATCATGTTTAAATCCATGTTCGAAACGATAAGTAGGATGTAAATAGAAACGGAATTCGATACTCTGTAGTGATTTATTTATTATGTAGTATCTTAATTATTAACTATATCATAAATGTAATAAAACAATTAAAAAGACAATACGGATGAGATGCGTAGATCTGCATTTATACCAATGGTTCAGAGGTTTATTCTTACGTTCATCTCAAAATTCTTACGCATTATCGTACAAGCTTTAAAAAAATCGTTGTTTCGGATCTGTGCGGAAGGTCGATAGATCCTTTGAATTCACATGATCGTATCTTTCCCAGGAAAATAATCTACGTCGGTTTTATAAAAAAAACTTAGCGTAATTACTGGGATACGAGAAAATTTTATTCAACCCTTTGAGACTTCGAACGTCCGGTAATTAGGATCAGTCTAGCCAAATCGACTCGAATGATTCGAAACCCTTCATGCTCTGTACATAGGTTCTTGCGTCGTATGTATACTGTGAGCTTTTCGTATTCTGTTTTGTTTATTTTTTACAGATACATATAACGCAGCGCGGTCGAGATTTAGAAAATTCATTTCGCACGGCTTACAAAAATCATAAAAACAAAAATCTTATTCTCGTTTGTTAATAGTATCAAGTTTCATTAATAGTTTCTCGCGATGCACGCGTGAATTAGCTATATGACCCATCGATCGATCTTTGTGCTTTTGTTTCCTGTTTACAGTTATTATTACGAGAGCACGGTTTGGAGAGAAATCAAGTGGTGCACAAAACAGTATAAGTTGGGCCCATCTGTGGTTGTCAGGCAAATTGTCTAACTGCGTATTATGCACTGTTCTCGAATTATGATTAACTTGATGCTTCTATGGGTAGTTGTCGAGGTCCAATCGTTAACGCCGGCTCACGTGGGACCAGCCATCGTCCTCCGTAGCTCGCCGTCTCTCCTCTTGTTTCGGTGGAAGTCTCTCCTCCTTAACGTCGTCTCGCCTATTAAAAGATGTTATCGTTTATAGTATGTACTAAATTGTAATAGTATGTTTTAAATTAATAGGTTCCAGAATTACTTACTTCTCGAGCCGTCTCGACATTTCCCGAGACGAATTTTGTATCGCGTCGTTCTTGTCGCGCCAATTTTGACTGCCGAAATTTCGCGTCGTATCCTCGCGTCGACCATCACGGCGATCATCGCGACGGTCATCTCGACGATCATCACGTCGATCATCTCGACGTCGATCATCTCGATCGTCACGACGTTCGTGTCCGCCGCGACGATCAGGCATTCTACCGCGAGTACGAGGTCCATCAGATATCGGGTCACGCGGAATATCGCGTATCTGTAAAATTCAGTTAAAAAACATTGGATTTTACAGCTCGTTAAAAATTATTTTTATTTTTTATTTTACTAATGATAAATCGCTTACCGGGCGTCCATCTATACCGCGATCTTTATCTATTCGATCCCGATCTCTGTCCCTCTCGCCCCTATCCCTTTCTCTGTCTCTGTCCCTTGTGTCATCCTTATCGTAGTCGTCTTTCGTCGTTCGCCATCTATCAACGGTATCTTTCTTCGGTCTATCATCCTTATCATCCTTTCGCCATTTGTCCGCTTCTCTCGTCGCGTCGCGTCTCTTCCAGCGAGTAGATTCTTCCTTGACACCGTCGTCTTTCGCGTCGAGAGGACGGCGCCAAGACATTTCCACTGGAATCAAACAGGACGCGTGAAAAACCATCGAACATTTTAACGAAATATATAGTACGAACAAACATGCCAATTACCTGGTTTGTCTTGTACGCGATGGGTGCGCTCTCCGCCACGTCGCCACGTGTCCGTCAACTCTCTTTCCTTCTGTCTCTCCTCCTCCAGCTTTCTCTCTATCTCGGCTTCTCTGGCTCTTGTGATCTCTGCCTGCTTTTCGATCTTGGCCAAGCGTTCGGCTTCCTTGGCCTCTTCCTCGGCACGTCTCTGTTTCTCCTCCTCTTCTCGCTTGGTTCTCTCCTCTTCCATACGTCGTTTCTCTTCCTCTTGTTTGATACGTAGTTCCTCGAGACGTCTTCTCTCGATGGCCTCGGCTCGTTCCTTCTCCCATTTGGCCTTGCGTTCCGCTTTTCGTTCCATTTTCCGTTTCAATAGCCTTGCGGCCCGTTCCTCATTCAACATCTTCTCGAACTCCTTTAACTTCTCCAAGTAAATACTCTTACGTTCTGCCAGAATCTTCGCCATGAAATTGTCGTGATCCTCCTTCATTCTCGCCATGCGTTCACGAGTAGCGACAGCCTGCTGCCTTTCTTCGATGGCCGCGGCGATCCGTTCGGCCTCCTGTTGCTCCCACTGTTGTCTGGCCAATTCCATCTTTTCCTCTACAGCCTTTTCCAACAGCGGTATCTCTTCCAAACGTTTCGCGCGTTCCAAGTAGTCAATCCTCTTTTCCTGCGACTTCAACTTCTGTTGCATCTCCCTGCGCTCTTTCTGTAATTCTTCCGCCTCCCGAGCTGCGATCTGTTCCGCGTCTAGCTTCTTAATCTCATCCTCGTCTAACTTTTTCAACACCTTCTGACCGTGACTAGTTTGCGATATTTGCTGCATCTTTTCCTTCAAATGACGATCCTTGATCTGTTGAATCTCACTCTGCTGCCGTTTCCTCTCGCGCTCCTCCCTCTCTTGCTCGAGCCTCTTCTGCTCAGCCAACATCTGCTGTCTCTGCAGTTCCTCCTGTCTTCGCATTTCTTCCTCCTCGCGAACCGTGTTAATATGTTCGATATATTCCTTTCTCTCCTCTATAATTTTGTGTCTGCCCAAGATCCTCTGGTGTTCCTTCATCTTGGTCTCGTGGTAATGAGCCACCATGGCGCATCGCAATTTCTCACGTTCCACCTTCTTCTTGTTAGGATTGATCACGTTAATCGCTCGGTGTAGGACGGTGGCCATGTTCACAAGTTGGCAACGTATCTGTTCGGAGGGCATCGCTTGCAAAACGGGACCGTCCGGATGATCTTCCCTTTGCGCTTCCGACAAATCGACTCCGAAATGCACGCACTTCTTTCCATGGTTGATTCTTATCTGCATGTCGTTGTATCTCACGCAGTCCACCAACAGACGCTCCAGGTGGAAGTCGGTCGTAAATTTGGCGAGCTCCAAAAGTCGGGCGAACTGTATAGTCTGATAAACCTGAGATATTTGATGAACTAAGCGTACGAGGGTGACGTCTTGCAAGGCTGGAATATATTGAATCAACGGACTATTCTCGTCCGCCTGCAGTGTTTGAATCACGGAGTCTACACGGCTGCAGAGTTCCAGAGGATGAAACTCGACTTCCAACCATGAGTACAATTCTTGCAATTGCGGGGACGCTAGATTTACTATGTTCAGGCGGACGATATCTTTGAGCAGCGATACTCTCGTGGGCGGCTGCGTCAGTCCTAACAGGGTCGCGAGTTTTTGCGCTTTCTCCAACGGACTCTTGTCCGTTTCGATAAAACGATCGAATTCGGGGTGAGCCGATGGCAGTGGGATAGACAGGGTGGCCAATAACACGCGATTGGCCATTCTTTGCTGTTCCTCCAAAGACATGTTCTTTTTCATTTCACGGGAGAGCTGCAGCAATTTAAACAACGCGGCAGCATGGAAAAGGTAGTTGCCCGCCTTCCAGAAAACCATGGCCAATTTCTGATAATAATTGGCCATGGTTTTTGGTACCGGAAGCTTCTTAGATAAATTCATCATACCGTGCACGTCTTCGGAGGATTTGAACGCTTCTTGCCACAGTTCCATTTGTATCGCGGAATCGAGCTGATTCAGCCGCGTTTCCAAGTTCAGCTGCTGCGTCTCGGCTCTGTTCATCGAAACGTTCGAGACAAGTGCCGGCAATTTACAAATCTCCTCCAAATGTTTGCGCAGCTTTTCGCATAGCTTACGGAATTCAGTCTTACGATTATACTCGAGACAAAATTGAAAGGCCATGCGAGCGATATCGTGGTATAACGTCTCGACGTGAGCGTTCGTTCTCAATAATTCCAGGCACTGACAGTATGATTCCCAGAGAAATTTCACCCAAGGCGTCAGGATCGTGCGATCGCTACGATCCTGGGCATCTTCGCCACTGACCGCGGATAATAAAATACTTTCGGGCGTGGCCAGATTATCAAGATCATCTATATCTATCACCGCTTGTTGGCTTTGCTTCCGTGCCTGATTCGTTTTCTCCTCCGCCATACGCAAGTATCCGCGTATCACATTCTCCAAGCTTCCTACGTTTACTGATTGAAACATATTTCGGTACTGAAATAGGCCTTCCTTCGCTATGTGGGACTTCTTCAGTTCCACGCAAAGGTCCAAGTATTTGAACATGATCGGTTCCAACACCGACTCTGACCAATTGTACGTCCATTTTTTGTTCCGGAAGACTTCCTGTAAGGTATCTAATGCACGAGCTGGTTTTCCTACTTCTATGAATTCTGCAAGAAACAAAAAGGCACATGTTCTATGAAAAATCTCGTGAAAATGTCATATTTTAAGATAGTTTACCCTGACATAGTTATTGGCTGTGTTATATATCTACTGTTTATATAACAGAATAAATAAATAGCCAGGTTTACTGTCAAAGTCAATTGAATGTTAGTAACGTGAACGTTAAGAATTTTGGTAAGAAAACACAGCTTAAAAAAAGACTAAAAGACGAAGGATGAAAACGCTCGTGTTGTCAAAACGTGTACCGCACGCACAATCCTGTTTTAATGCATATGATTTCCTTTTTATCGCGCCACAACGTAAGAAACGAGAATGCTCGAACTTGTTCGCGATGCGCAATTACGATACGTTCCTTTTCCATAGCAAACGAATCACGAGAAAGTACTGTCCTGCGTGCATATGGTCGAGCAGAATGAATATTTTTAAAGGAATCGGATGGACGTGACTGCAGGCATCCCAGACGTAGCACAACAAGTAGAAAATACTGTTTGTACGAGCTAACCAATATCGTGAAATCAAACGATCGTGTCCGAAAGCGCGAAACTCTAAGCGTTTGTGTGAACAAGATGAAAGAATCTCTCGTAGATTAAATAAGCCATCGGCCATGTCACGTCGTATTGTTACGGAATCCGGTATACGTACCGTTTGCTCGTTTTAGAGCATTCTCAGGTCTTTGCCCGTATCGCGCCATTTTTTCGCACGAGTACAGTTAATTTCACACCATACACGCTATCGCGGAGTCCTGTGGATTTATTTGAAAAATCTACGATTTAAGGTTTTTCACGACGTTTCTTACAAGCACGACGGACCTCGACCGCGTGTACCGGATGAGAGGCGGCCACTACGGAAATATGGCTTCCCCGTAATATCCGAGTCAAATCACGCGATTCCAAATTCGAAAACGTTAGATCGATGGATATAGATGGTGAAAACGTTATGAAAAAACACGATTCAGTTTATTAACCTAATTTTACGAACGGCAGGAGAATTTTATCGCGAATTATTTCATTAAAAGCTGATTATTCGTGGGTAAGAATTAGAATAGCAAGTGGGCTTGTCCTCAAGCTACATTCTCAATTTTATTAAAAAAAACTGGGATATCATAAACGTATATTAATAAAAGTAGAAATTGTTCCCTAGTTTCGTATTTTAAATAGTGTTTATAGGAGCTAAGGATTTTTGCGCGGGGCCAAGAAATCTACGTCTGATTGAAGTTTCTCATGTCTTGATTAAATCTCAATTTCAGTGCTAGATAGCGCTACTATTACCTTTTCAGGACGCCAAGTTCTTTTCAATTCAAATTATTATTCGCAATTTGGGAATGAGTTTTACAATTAACACGTCGATATATTTATTGTGTAAGATTCTTTAAATATATGTACAAAAATATGAAGACAGTGTCATATTACAGTAGAAACAAGTTTTCTGCCACGGCCAAGTTGATCAGGAAATTTTCTACCGCGGGTGGTAAATTTTTTTCTTTTAATGTTTGTGCGGAAACCATTTTCTGACCATCGGGTCCTTGAAGGACAGCTAACGATTTCAGCTGATTCAGTAAATCTTGAGTCTTGTCATTGATCTCGGATATTATTTGGGCTTCCGCGTAAGACTGATTTTCACTCAATTGAATCATGAACAGTGCTATTTCTTTATGTGTCTTTGTCATCGTTAAACTCTCTGGAAAGAACATAGTAACTAGGGTATATATTTGACAAAGTAAAAGTATCATCGAATTCTTATCGTTTTACCTTTTGCATGAGACGCAACTGTGATTTCTCTGGCTGGTATGTTTACCAGCAAATCGAACAAGTCAGTTCTCGATGAAACTGAACTGTTTCTACAGCCTGCGACGTAGTGCGAGTGTCCCTGAAAAAATGTATGAAAGTTTTAAGATTTTATAGGGGAATTCGAATCATTAGAATGTAATAGATTCTTTTACGTACTTTCAATTCTGCTAGTTCATCATCCGTTAGATCTATCCATGGGAATAGATTATCTGTAACATTTCGGTGTTTCATCAATGAGGGAAAAGTTCCAATCCACCTCAAAAGTTGTTCTAAACTGTGATGATAAACGATTATCCGTTTCTTTAAGAGAAGAGCAGTGTATATGAGAATCGTTTTCAGTTCGAACGTCTTGATCATTTCCCTGGCATTCGTGTTTATTATAAAGGAATGAGTATTAAAGTCGTCGGAAACGAACGTCCCGTTCTCCTGAGTGGAGCATGATCCTTTCGTAAATACTGAGAGATACAATTGTAATATTTCCGTAGGTTTCCCAGTCTTGCAGTACATTTTGCTGAGCACTCTCGAAAGGACCTCATACTTTCGTGGATTAAAATCTTTTGCGAATAGAACTAGGGCAAACTGTTTCACCTGTTTCAAAGACGAATTCGTTTGGTTTCACCGTATTCGTGATTATCGTTAATTTGAACTTACTTTTGGCAATTTGTCAGAATCGAACACTTCGTTACAATGTATGTAGAACCACGCGTGTTTGTATCTCGAAAATACGAACACCTGGGGAGAATTGTGCTCTAATTCTAAATTGCATTTTCTCGCGACAACAGTCCTTTGCGATTCAGAAACAGTTGGATAGACCCATGTCCACAATATATCGCCGTTAGAATCTTTTTCGATTATGCTACACGACAATAAATCTGTAAGGGGAGCCATGTCGAGTAATACTAACGATAGGGTTAAATAAAATGATCATATACTAGTTTAGATTAACTTTATTCAAAGAACATGTACGTTATTATTGGATTTGGAAACAGGCGATCGAGATATATACGTATCTATTAATTAAAATTCATTTTGCCGAATTTGACATTTCGTTAGGTTATATTCCACTATCGCATCTTGTACGATCGGCATGTGCTGCCATCTTTCCTAATCACTCAGATCGGGATATTTCAAAAAGCAGTTCACAGAAAAGAGTTACGGTTTAAACAATGCGTAATTACGTCCAAGACACGTCTTCAGTTAATTCGTTTTAGTGCAGTGAATAATAAAGTTTCAAGATATAATAAGTGTGCTCATCGCGTGTTGAAGCAGGTTTTGAAGATTCGGAATTAGACAATACAAAGGTACACGAATAATTTTTTATTAAATCATCTAAAAATCACATACACGACGCGTACATTCGACAATTAACATAACCATCAATTCTTGCACTTATTTTCTAATCGTATCGCCTGTAAGTGTTTCGAACGCTAATATTTATATTACATTACGTGTATTCAATAGTGATTAACAGTATAATTGGTCGTTTTGTATGTTCTTATCTAAATGAACGTGATCATGCATCGCGGTATAGATATACTTACAATTTTTCTATGTACAAGAGTATTTACAACTTTTCGTAATCGTTGTTTTTAGTAATTTCATATAAATATTGTTAGAGCATTGATACGATATAATACTAACGAAATCGACGGCAATCACACAATGTAATTTTGCATAATAAATACCGAGCAGTTTTTCCGATTGCAATTTATTAACGCTTGTATAATTTTCTCCGCCTAACGGGTTTACACCGTTATATGCTTCAATTTTGTTGTTACGACAATTCGTGCGTCGCATCATCGCAATTGGAATAACGCAATCGTTTCCGGTCTGTTTGCAGGGTACCCATGTTAGGCGATCATTTTCAACGAGCAAATTGCCAGTTGAGTGTCCGGTGCTTTTCCAAAGGGCTTCGTACCATCCGGGGCGCTGTACCTGTTCACTTGGTAAGTCGTCATCGTTTCGTATCCAAACACGTCTATTCCGAGTTGCTGCAGCACAAACAAAATGCGCTCGAGCGTGAATCTTTTATGCAGAACCACGTACGTACGTACGATTATACATATAGGACTTTTTAACTCGGTTTTATTTATAATTCATAACAAACGAAATTGGGAAGTTGAAGAAGAAGCATGGGAATTTGGGTAATCCAATTTCCATGTTTCCGTGGATGAGGCGCGAGATAACGATACTTTTGTTACAAACTTGTTAAAAAAAGTGTGTCGCGCAAACTGGGGCTTTCGAGTTTGGGATAGTACGTAGGTATTTACCTGCGTTAGCGGGCTCGTGTTCGTCGTGAAAATTCCGGCGTACTCTTTCCTCCTGGCTAGACGTAAACAGTATTCCTCCATCTCTCTCATTATAATAACGTTTTCAGCCGCTTTCAGATCGCTGCTGGTACCCATCATGAAATTGTGTATAATCTGGCCTTTCCCTTTCGGCAATTTTCGTTCTCTGATAGGCGCCTCGAGGTATTCCAAGAAATCGAAGACAATCGTCAGTTTCGAGTCGAGTATCACCTCGGGTTCGTCCCAAAGATCGAAATTAAGCCCGATCCCAATTACTCTCCCGTCTCGCGACGATTTCACTACGAAACTGAGGTCTTTCTCCACCAACGGATCCCATAATCTCTCCATTAGTATCCGATAGTCCTCCCTGGATATTTCCGGCATCAACCATTGCTCCAAGTCTGCTTTACTGTAGAAGCTTTCCGTGATAATCCTATAAGGAATACACGAACGTTTTGCTTCGTACTTATCACGCTAACGAAAATCGCTCAAGAAAATTGAATCCCACTTACTCTATCGCGTCCGCCTTATGAGAGTCGTTCAGCATTTCGTAGATGAACTCCTCCTCGTTTAGAGTCCCGTTCTCGAAAGCCTCGTCTGTCGTGCTGACCGTCATTCGGTCGATCACCTCGGCTAGATTCTTCGCGGTGATGAACTCGGTGATGCCTATTTTGTACCCCTGATCCCGTAGCTTTGTCACTGTGTAGACCGAGTTCAACGAGTTGCCACCCAACTCGTAGAAATTCGATTCTAGCCTTACGACCGCGTTGCCTTCTCCGATCACGGAGGCCACCGTAGGAAACAGTACTTTTGCTTTTTCCATATCCTTTTCAGGTACTCCACTATACTCACAGTTCAAACATCGTTCTTCATCTAGATAGAAAGATACATGTGATATTTATTTGATAGAGTTAATAAGAAATAGTATCCGTTTCTTATTCAAAGTCCCATACCGTCGTTGTTTGCGTTCAAAGCTTCGTAGTACTTCAATAATGCTTGACGATCGGTTTTTCCGTTGGTCAACAGCGGTATAGTTTCCAACATAACGACTCGCGGCAACATATAGACGGGCAACGTGGCCTGTAGGAAAGTCTCGATTTTCAACGCGCAGGTGGACGAATCGCTCGCCACGGTTACAAAAGCTATGAGTGTCTGAAAATTCGATAAATTGCAGTCGAGATCCGCCGTTGAGATATTCTTGAGAGACAGGCGGTGCTGTACCTGCGACAGCTCGCCGGGTCTGTGGCATAGCACGACGGCCTTGTCGACGCCAGGTGCCTTGGCAACCGCTTTCTCTACTTCTGTGAGATCCACGCGGTGTCCCCTGACTTTGATTTGCGAATCCAACCGACCCTCGTATACGATCACGTCCTTTGATATTCTAGCGTAGTCACCGGTGCAATAAATCCTCGAGTATTCTGTTTAAAGGACGATGCAATCCACGATGTATAAATCAAAATGTAAGGCTAACGAAGATCTTGATGTTAGGTAACGAGTACTTCATAATATAGTTGATAAAACGTTTAAGAACAAACAATTGGTTACGCGATAGTTTATAATATAACTGATAAACTATGAGATCTTGATATTACGCAAGGACATTACCTACTTCGCGATTCTCACCGTAATTCATCTCGTTTCCGTCTCCTTTCGATGATAATTCATTCGTTCTCGTATTAATAATGGAACTAATGAGACCGGGTAAAGGATAAATAAATTTTCAGCCAAACGTCGATTTAAAAGAAAAAAGGAAGAACGCTAAATTTCCACGACGATAGCGTGAAGTATTCCCAAGTGAAGTAAGATCGGACATTCCTAACTTAACGACATTACGCGCGGTACGCGGATAAAAAAGCAGAGAAACTTGTTATACGTGTAAAGTCTCGCGCGCGCGAGTTTCTTATTTGTCATCTTCTATTCCCGTCAAACAATTATGAGTCGGCGTTTAATTAAGAAATAATTAAGTCTCCGTTAAGGAGTAAATAGCGTACGGTCTGAACGTTTTTCATTGAATTGTAGTTTTTACCTGGATCGATGGCGAAGGGGTTGTCGTGGAATTTCCGGGAATCGACGTCGCGAATGTAACCCGTGGCGAGGTTCCTTCCGGCTACTATCAGCTCGCCCACTTCCCCTTGCGGAACCAGTCGCATTTCTTTGTTCACGATATAAATAATGCAATTGTCTAGCGGCTTTCCTGCAATCACCCGAGAGCAACTTTGAACCTCGATGCCAAGGACACAATTAGAATTGCAAATTTAATCGAGTCTCTGATCTTTTCATTTTTATATCCAGTATCCGTTTATTTTCTAAAAACAATTCCTCTTACCTATGGGCACTTTCTCCGCCGACTGCAGCTGCCTGCGGTCGTTCAACAGATAATAGGCGACGTCGCCCATGATCTCCGTGCTTCCGTAAAAGTTGGCCAGAATTTTCTCGCCGTTGTCGAACGTGACGAAGAACTGTTCAGCCAATGAGACCGGTAACGTTTCACCGGAGCATATCCAAAGTCTGAGCGAGCTCAGCGCGCTGTCCTTGCTCTGAAACGAGACGTTCATGAGTAATTCGCGCGGCCAAACTTGGCGTTACCGCCGATTACTTAGCGTGATTTAAAACCGCATATTCTGACGTTAATTGATCCATCAATCAGCGAGTCAAGGTAACTAGACATGGGTCACCGGATCTACCCCTTCTTCACGTAACAGCCAACCTTTTAACGGCTAATTAAGAGCCGTGGCATTAAGTTCTCCAATCAACTTTATATTCACGGAATTTTTATCGAGCGAGCGTAACGCGAACAAAAAAAATCATATAAGTGCATTTCTTGAATGCAATCTGAAAAATCGATCGTTACTGACGGCGACGATAGGTGAAGGCGAGGTTGAAGGATCGAGTAGAAACCCGTTAACGATATTCTAACGTTGCGTTCGTGAACGTACGAGCATTTACGTATAGTCGTTTGCATGTTGCAATAATCGACGTTCATGCTCACCCGCAGGCTCAGGTACATGAGTATAGATTGTAAAAGCGACGGGACCAGCACCAGTCGTTGAATCTGAAATCATTATGAATCACAGCCTCGTATAGAATCTATTGAAAACAATCATACTTAAGTACCGAGTCCAACTCACCTTGTATTTCTCCAATAGCGCGACAAACCTTTCCGGGTCTCTGGTAACGTCTTTAGGAACGACTATCAAGGTGCGACCTCGCAGCAGCGGGCCCCAAATCTCAGAGACGCTGTCCACGAACGTCAGAGACGTTTTGAACACGCAGTGCTCTTCGTCCTCTGCATAAGGCAGCTCTTCCCATTGCCACTGTAGTCTGTTTAACACGGTCGCGTGTGGCAAGAGTACTCCTGTTGTAATGAAACGAAACGAATCGGTATATCCTCGATTACCGCATCGACCGTTATATGAAACGTATGATGTAAACGAATTAATTACCTTTAGGAATGCCTGTACTCCCGGAAGTGTACAAGACGATGGCGATCTTCTCGGGATCCTCCTCGATCTTTAAATCCTCCTTCGCCTCGCCTTCGGACAGCTTCGATAATTGGTTGTAAGTCAACGTGCTCGTGCCCTCGTAAATCGCCGGATCCGCTGATAAAAAAATTGAGAGATGAGTCAAATTGCGATTTCCTGAATCGGCTTAATTGATTGTAGAATAGTTGATGTGTCCCTCGGTGTTAACAACGTTCAATTAGCTACGAGCGACGAATGTCAATGAAACTCCGCGGCCGCGAAATCCGATTGAACGTTATAGAAGTGATTCGATTTACCTATCGACCTTAAATTTACATAGCCGGCAAGGTCCTTCCATTTATCGCTCGATGCGAATATGGTTTCTAAATAGGAACTCAGGAGTTTTTTCACTGTCATTATTTTTCTTTTCTACTGACATTTTTTTTAATCACGGACCATGTAACTCGAGGACATCGGTTGAAAGTTGAAAGAAACGAAATAAATATCACCGCTATAAGGCTGTGAATATGCATGTATCGCGCATACATTAAATTACTATGCGATTAATAAGAGAAAGTTCATCAGTTATTCGAATGATCGACCGTCGTACAATTTTCATTTCGGAAACATGTACCATTTTGCGTGGCATGCAGTTCAGTTGAAACCGGTTTTGTAAATCAGACGGAGGTCGAAAAAATGAAGAAAAACGTCCTGTTTACCGGTTTCCTCAATCACGATCGCGAACGGTTGAGCCTCTTGCAGAATGTGTTTCATCCTGGTCATGGGAAACTCCGTGTCCAAAGGTAAATACGCCATGCCTGCCTTTTCTATGGCGATCAAGACGATGGGCAATCGGTGGGACGGTTTCATGCACACTCCCACGAGCCATTTCGACGAGCCCTCCGGTTTCTCAAATTTTTTTAACGCCCTGGCTAATTTGTTAGTCAACTCGTGTAACTCTCCGTAGGACATCGCGTATCGTTGTCCATTATCATCTGAGAACATATTGCGATATAGTTCATCCATTAATTATTTTCCTGCGTCAAATTTAGACAGGAAAAAATAGTACACGTGCAGAGAAAAATAAGATATATAATGGATTCTTAATGACGCAAATCACGTTTCTGTCTTTTCCATTTTATTTTTTCCTTCTAATCAAACAGAACCGTATGCGTGTTCGTTTTCTTGTTAATAATATCAATGACAAACACCTTCGTAACGGATCGCCAGCTGACTAGAATAGTTTAACGCTGCCTGGTTGAATAATTTATGAAGCGTATCCTTCTCTCTACCCGGGCTGCTTCTCTGTCGGCCTTTTAACACCGACTGTTGTAGTATAGTACCCATCTGTGAATTGAAAGTTTTACATCTTTATACGAGACATTCTATCCGAACGAATTTACATTCTTATTTATGCTTATTAATTAGACGATTGACTCGAACGTAAACACGTTCTCAATGCTTTCTGAGTTATTGTTGACTCATGGAATTCGAAATCCTAAAAGAAAAACGTCGGCGTTAGCTGCGAATGCCTCTTGAACGCTGCTTCGATCAGCGAGAGAAAGATCGATGGCTAGGTCCTCGAGAAAAGAATGAAAAACTGACGCGACTCGACGCCGAGAACGCGGCAAATAAGTCTTCGGAATCACGAGAAGAATTAGGGTAATGGCGTAATTTTTCTTGTCCAGGCTCCGTTTCTCTAATTATCATTCGGAAAAAGAGGCTCGCGTCTATTGTTTCGTTCGCAACGCGGCAGCGGACTCGTTGACACAACGGACCTGCTTAAGTTCGGTTGAGAAAGCGAATACTTTTTCTAACGCTCTCGCTGTGAGAGCTTTTCCACGCCTTACAAACTTACCGCCGGTGGATTCGCTCACCGGATTTCGTCACGTCCATGAAACGAAGGCCTCGTTTGGTGTAATACCTTCCGTAGTGAAGCAAATAAAACGCATCGAGGCAATCGAGTTTTGCACGGATAAATTCATCCTCGGACAATTTAATTCCCGAATCGATTCTACGGTGACTGGCGAAATGCAATCGGTGGTTACGGCCAGCTGTTACTGCGGATTTAACGCGTTTACAGAATAATATGAAAGATGCATGGTAACGTGGGAAAATTGTAACTGTTTCGTTTAGCATACTATTCTGCGGTCTCGCGATACAGATCATTGACTTCGCGATCGGTGAACAATAACAATGTTTAAATTAAGTTCTACTTTCCATTCGGAACGTGACTGCACAGTTGATTTCGAATCCGTTGATCGACAGATAAACGCGTACGAAATTGGTTACATAACGCAATGCAGTTTGAAACGTGTAAAATATTAATAGTCGAAGAGACCCGAGAAGTTTGCGTTCGACTGTGAAAGGCATTGGAAATAGAAGTAGATTGTAGAGGGTTTATCTCGTCGATCGAACCGAATCGAAAGGGAAAAAAATAATGTTCTACGAGGCATGGCCCGGTGTATGCATGCGAACTCGTTGCGACAGCTTTAACTATTTTTCTGAGCCGTAATGATTTATGACCGGTCTACATTCCGTTTCGACAAAAACCGTCCTGGTTGACTAAATTTCAGAGAAATTCAATTTCTGTCAGGCGCATAGCGAGAAAAATTCGGTTCGATGGACGAAAAAAAACTTATTCTATTACCATTGCCATCGATTCTAGAGAGGTTTCGGAAAGAGAACTCTTTCATGCGTCTCGTTTCAATCGTCACCGACGGCGATCGGTTCTAGCCACTTTTCGTCAACGCTTTTTATCCAACACAAAACCGATTGAAGTAGAGTTCAAGTTGAAATATAAAATCTCTTCATGAAGAATCACTAATCAGTATTTAAGTATTTTTACTCTATGAAGACTAGAAATGATAATTGCTGATGCGAAAGAAGTCGCGGGAAATCGCACTTTAGACGTTCTAACTATGTGGGTCGTGTCACGAAGTGAAATCCTGAATCCGAGTTTTGGTTCGCTCACCTCAGACCGCGACGGTGTCTCACGGTATTCGACCTTCCGTCCACTTGCTTCCTATTCCTTGAATCTACGAATAAATTTCCAAGCACACGCCGCGTTCTTCTCGCTGCAACGACAGGAGCCGCACTCTCGAAATCCGATCGAATTTAGGAGGTAGGACCCGTCGGGGACTTTCACTTCGCCGCGAACCGACCAATCCTCCGATTTTCCGCCTTTCCAAATTCTGTTGCCCACGCTTGCTCGAACCACCGTTACTGTTCACGTCCCCTCAATATAATCTGACTCGCAGGAAATTCCTTCAGTCGCGCATGTATCTTCTAGCGAAGCTTCTAATCGTCTGTTCGCTCGTCTTGGTGCAGATCGGAAACTCGATGACCCTGCAAGATTCGGTCATCACTGGGCCGATCACTCGGTGCGAATGCCTCCTCCCGTTGACGTAGCACGTACTTTTATATAGAACCGGTTACTGGTTACGTGGACCCTGAATTGTTCGTTGTCCCCTATCATGCCACCACCACCTCACTTTCCGTATCTTTTGTGTCGTGTCGCGTTTAGGTCTTTCTGCACTAACGTAACGTCGCCGTCACGTCGACGGGACGTATGGTCTCCGTAGGTCGTACGTTTGGCAGCGGAACCAGTGCTGTAGTCTTTAGGACAGTGCATAGGGCAAAGCGAAAGAACCATCGAAGCAGGTAATGGACCTTAAACAGCAGGCAGTCCGCCTAACGATTCGGTGTCAAACGAGACTGCTTTTACACCCTAAGTTGCCGAAGTACGCCCTACGACCTACGGAGACCCTACGTACTGGTAACGTTACGTCGACGTAACGTTAGTGTAGATAGACCTTTTCATTATGCACCGTGTCGTCTGGAGTCCGTCGGGCCCCTTAGACACCGACGTCGACGCTTCGTCACGCGTGAATCCTTTCGTACATAATTAGAGTCAATTTTAGTTTGTCTAACCGCGACTTCTCTTTTTTTTTGCAAATTACCAGCGCCGAAGAGGAATCGATTCGTTCCATCGGCATCGTGAGCTCGATGAAGCTTGCGATCCTTGAATCAACGATCAACGGTTTAATCGCGCGTTCCCATGTCCCGGTAATTTTGTGATCGGCCTCAAGAAAATCAGTCGGTCGTAAAATAATCGTTTCCATTGTACAGGTTTCATTCGGACGATATCGTTCTGTCACGGTCCGATCCGTAGAGGAGCCAAGGAGATTTTATTTATTAAACATTGTTTGTTACGCAACCTCGAGGCGAGAGGAGACGAGCGGCGGTGCACAACATCGTTAACGTCTATTAACCATTACCTATCCACTATTATGATTCTTTGTTACATTATTCAAGATCCGTCTACTGATGCGGTTTTCAATTCGTTTTTATTCCGTCCCTCTGATTCACCCGAACACAATACGATTTAATCTCTTATAGGTCCATGGGACTTTTTTCTATCCTCGAATCTTGTCATTAATCATTTTTAATGTATAATAAAGTCTCCTCTCCGTGCGATCTCACGTTTCAGTCGAGTTCCAGTTGAGGCTCGTGATTGATCAATTAAGAGCTCGTCGATGCAACTTTGATGATTCGTTTAAAAACAGTTCCTCGGCATCTATCAAGAACCATCCCATCAGGCTATTTATGTCGACGGAATTGATCGATCGGACTTTATCAACGTGACGCGGAAGCTAAGCTAGCCCAACCGAAAACACGTTCAGCTGGAAGTTCCAGACTACCCTTTTTGTTACCGGCAATCTCGCGTCAGAAATCGTGTCATGAAACTTTCATGACACATCGTGCCTCCTCTGTTAAGTCTAATTAGTCGTGTCATCACTTTTTTTCCAGTTCTCTTCGCGCCGATACGAATCGCGTTCGCGTTCTCGAATCACGCCAGAGGGCTTCGTGGGAAACGTTGACTTTGTTGCATGTTTCAATGTTACGAAACCCCAAGGGAAACGTACAAAAAATAAGCCTGTAGTCATTAGTTCCGCCAATTGTATGTGCCCGCGATCCGGACATTGATTTATTGTAACAAATTTGAAATACGCCGACGTTCATCAACCCTTGTGTCAGAATCGATGACAATCGATCGTAGAGAATCGAATGGACGGGGAATATGGAACAATTTTTTTAGTAATTATTCCGGTTCTTCTAGATATTTCAATACGATAGAGGAGTTTTCCGTGCGGGTAAATCCAAGGTTGGTTCACCCAATCAGTTGTATTTAAATGCATCAACAATAATAACGCAGCTGCTACTGGTGTCTGATTTATGCGAGTTACGATACATGTCTGCAATTAAATGATTCTTTTGCCTAGTTTACCATTTTCTTCTCCCTTATATTACCGTTAGAACGGCTCTGTCGATTATATAATTTACTTACAACTCAGCGATTATAAGTGGCTGCGAGCTAACAAACAAGTTCAGACAATTTCTGATTTTTCAATTACGTTGGCCAGGTGCACTGCGTTTATATAACACGCGTGGGCAAATAGGTAGCCAATCAATCCGTTGGTTTATGAAAATCGATTAACGAGCCTTTTTTCCCCGTTTACCATTCTCGTTGCTGCGAATATCCACGCAACGAGTTCCGCAAGTGGACAATAACGTTCTCGTTCCATTCGTCTATCACGTGCCTAATTGACATTCAAAAAAATACGTTTCCATTCTGTTAATAGCCAAACGCTACCTTTTTCCGATGCCCCCGATGTAAACGGCAGATATTTGCAATCGGTACAGGCAACAGGTGCGCTGATTGTTTTTAAAAGGCAGAGACCCAGTTGCTGTCTCCAGAAACGAGAGACGCCGCGTGCGCTGAGGAAAAACGAGCGCCGCGCAATTTTCGATTTCGATCGCCAACACCTCGACGCGTTATTTCCACCGATTCATTAGCACTTGAATGAGAAGCGAGCAATTAACTTTTCCACGTTCTCATTACGAACAGCACGCGAATGTTGCAGAATATCGGTGCAGCTTTGTTTAATTATATTCCTAGCCGCGATCAGCGTATTCCAATTAACGAGTTATTCGAAGGTAGGGTTTTCCCGCATTAATTGGGAGTATCATCGATCTATGATCATTCGCGATTGCCCATTGAGGCCGTTTCGAGATTTACACATTTCGATTAACGTTTAAGCACGTTCGGTGTTCTCTATAATTTTCCTCGTACAAAATGTGTGGCAAACTCGTTAATACCCAGCGCGTTAACACATCTTCTACGTGTTTGTTCGTCTGACGCACGGATTTTATGCCTCGCGGAACGAAATGCGAAAGAAAGTTGGGAATCCCAGATAAACTTTTCCTGTTACGGTTGCGGGGACGTATTCCCCTTTGACGTCACGCGAATCCCGACTCCGAGACTTTGCGAGGCTCGTCGCCACCGTGAATGAAAAGAAGTGTGGGCGTGAACGATACTGCATACTCGACGAGCGAACGCGACGTGACGCGTGGCCGTCAATGAAACGGTTCAAAACGCTGTTTCATCGCGGGTTTTACCGCATCGAAGTGACCTATCAGATTAATCAGTGTCTAGCTTCATTGTTTATGGTCTATAATAAAACGCCCAGGCTCTTGTCTCTTTCGTCGTGAATTGAAAGCCGTTCTAATTCACAGTCACGGTGATTCAATGTTAGAAGAAGGGATAATAGGAAAATAGTAGCGTCGCAGACTGGTTCGCGGCGATGATGGATAGATAACGGTATAGATGGGTCGAGTATTTTGCGTGTTACGTAACCTTGATTGATCGTCTGATTGGGTCAAGTGGCGAGAACAATGAACGTTGCTCGCTCTCCCTGTTTCTCTTTATAAGCGTCGCGTATAACCCTATTTTACAATTTTAATTTATCACATCCGCGGCAACGCGGTTCACCCCGACTCCCATAATCTTCCTCGCGCGCTCCTGCCGGAAGTGTCAGTTTTGCGTCTCGTTTCGCCGCCAATAATCTCCTCTGAAATTGATAAGAAACGCGCCAAGGCCGACCTTCTTCCAGTTTTTTTTTTTTTTTTCTTTCATGTAATTATACACGGTTCGTGGCTCCATTGGTAGATCGTAAGATCGAGCGTAAGATAATTGGAATGGTTATTTTCGTCCGATGCACAGATGCATCGTCGACGAAAAATTTACATAATTGTACGGTACTTTAACCGTTACCGACACATTCCACGTCGTTAATTGTATGCGGGACAATTATGTTTAACGGAAAATACAAAGCTAACTCGTTTCATACTCACGTGTAAACGATTACGTGGTTAACGTCTAATCGTATCATCGATGATTTGAATAGGCTATTAAATTTATTGGGTACTAAATAATCATGACAGACGCACGTACAATGATCTCGTGGTGTAAGCATTTTTTACATACTCATACGACGATATTCATACATCCGACGGTACAAATTACATTCAGTTTTTTTTTTTTTTCTTCTGTAGGAAAAATTGCATTAGTAATTTTCCGGCAACTCGACGACGCGACTCGTTGCAACACACGATCGTCGCAATCGCGACTTGACTCGAAGCTGGAGGAAATTAAACGATAAGTAGTTACTTATGTACAGAGATGCATCTTTCGAAACGACGCGACGCATTGCGATGATAAGGAAACCGCGTGCTCGTTGACATTTTTCTGATGGCTGCGCGATCTTTTACCGATTCGTCGGAGGTTTCCATGAAACTGGTGACGCAAAAGGCACGAATCGAGTACGAGGTAGGTAGCTGAACCGAGCTGGATCGATGCCAAAGCTACTAGATGAATATGCGCACGTAGTATGCAGAACGTGGGATCGAATCGATTCGGATCGGTTCGAACTTCCGGAATCGCGAGTCAATAGGTATAGAAAATGATCGATCCGAATGAATTTGAAATTATCTGGTTTAATGGTCGGCCGATCAGACGCTCTTTTCGGAGATGGTACTTCGGATGCTCCTATTGCTATCTCTCCTCTGCACAGTACGGGGGATCCTAGGAGTTCGGACCGGTGTCTCCCTGTCGCTGCCCATTCTCCTCAAACTAGTGTCCCTCTCGATGCGAGCATTCTTCGGTTGCACGGGTCCTCTGATGTTCGTATACACCACGTAAACGGCCAGAATCCCGACCACGAACATGGCCACTCCCACTCCGCTGACCGTCGCCACCTGAAACACGAGCATCGAGTGCATTTACCCCATTCGCATCTTCTGTTAGCTTTCATCGCATTAATACGCGTGGTAAATATGCTTCGATGACTAGGGAAAATTGAAAAAAGAACTGACCATGGTCCACCATTCGGTGTTGTCCATTTCGGAGACGAGGACCTGGGCAGCTTCGTCGTCGTCCTCATGTAGTAGTTTGATTTCTTTAGGGGTGGTAGCGCAGCCGGTTTTGGTTCCCTTTTCTTTGGTGATCAACTTCTTGAAAGCTTTCGGCATCTCATTCTTGTCCTTCTTGTCGTCGTCGTCGTCGTCGTCGTCGTCCTCGTCATCATCGTCATCGTCCTTATCGTCGTCATCCTTATCATCATCGTCGTCCTCGTCGCCCCAGCGTAACTTGATCTTGTTCTTGTGCACGCTGATCGATGCTAGAGTCTGCAATTCCGCCGCCTTCACTTTCATAGATAATTCGAGCGACGTCGCGCTGCTTTGCGACTCCTTCATGTGATCCGCGATCACGTTAGACAAAACGTTGTTCCAATCAACGGGGTTTACCAGGTTCTTGCACTTTTTCTTCTTACTGGAACCAAAGAGGATAAACTATCACGGAAGTCGATCATTTCCGTTTAGCTAATCGACTATAATCAGATTCTAGTAGCGACAAAAAAGAAAACAAAACGGAAAACAGACCTGACAAGTTATATGTTTGCAAAAGCGCTGAATCAGACTCATTTGCATTTATCGCACGTAATCACCGATGTTTATAGATCGCGCGGGCCGCAATAGATCGCAAAGATATTTGTCGGCTATTTTTTTTTTTTTTAATCTCGAGAAGGTAAACGAGCCATTTCTACGATAATTACGTTTAACAAACTTTCGCGTTGCTCACCATAGTGTTTCCAATGCTTTCGTGTACACTTGTATCGCGTCCTCGAGCCATCTCACTTCCGTTAACTCTTCGGCGTCGAACTTTCCGCCGTCCTTGCTGCCCCACCATTTCGACTTCTCTACTCGCGCTTCCAGCCCCGCGAAATCGTTCCTTGAACAAATTAAAATCCAGTCAATCGATGCTCTTCTCTTCCTGTGTCTTTTCATCATTAAACCACCGTTTTCATATTTTGACTCGTTTCTTTTCGACACCTGAAGTAAACAATGGTCGGTGCAATGATAGAACGTAACGTGGAAATTTACACTGGCGACGGTAGATGACAGAAATCAGGTATGTGCTAATGAACTCGACTCGCGTGTTACCGATTGCATGCGTGATACATCGGTATTTCCATTACTCGTTTTCATATTATACTTACATACTACGTACAAACTAATAGCATGATTAGGCTTGTTTCCATGAATAACAGTTACTGTTATGTACCGGTAGATATTCAATTTGCACGTAAGGCAACCGCAATAACACGACGCTTGTCGGTCGCTTCGTGTTTAACTGAGATTTCGTTGAGTATAATTGAAAAATAGTTTCGATGATAATTTTCCAGTTTCATAATAATTAATCGGGCGTTTAATAAGACTTGCTAGTTATATAACAACTGGGATGCAAGTATTTTCGCAAATATCCTACAACGTTTCGCGTTCAATTGATAATCACGCGAATAACGGAATAGCTACATGATATCTGTGTTGCAGAGAACAAAGGACAATTAATATATTGTTACATCTTGTTAATTGGAATCGTATCGCATTACGTTCGTTATATATTGTTACTGATTACAACAGTTTCCGCATTCCATTTAGTTGCAGTTAAGTACAGCATTCTACGATTGTTGCGTTTTTTATACCAGATTGTTCTGTGAATCATACGCGACCAGGTTTCGCTGGCTAAACGCAAAAAAGTAATTTCAGAGATAATTATCACTTTCATGCGTCTTAATTATGTCTAATAATTATCTTCGTCCGTCGAAAGATTAAATACAATGGCAACGGGAACGAATACGGTAAAGAGAAAAAGAAATGAAGAGCCGTTCGTTGTGCATTAATTTACAAGGTGCCGTTTTATCGCGGTAACTTTCCGACGTTCCGGTACAGTAATTATGTATATATATGCGAATCGCGGAATAGAGGAGACAAGGAGGCAAAGAGTGACGGAACAGAAAGAAATTGCTACACAGTTTTTCCGTTCGAACATGGAAAAAGACTTTATATCGCAGACCATTGCAAGAGATCAAAAAGATTTCGATTCCCCTCTATTTCTTATCAACCCTCGATTCGTCTTCTCGGCATTATAACAATCGTAATTGACCTAAACCCGGCCTCCCAATACTAATTCCCAGATTCGATCAACGAAATCAAGGGTAGTCTAGAGACGACGAGGGAACGAAAGCCGAACGCTGAGGGTAGACAGCGGAGAACGAGTACCCGATTTCTCTTTGGATACCTTGAGTGACGCCACCGTTGAGTCGTAGGCGCGAAGCTATGAGAAAAAACGTGTTGCTGGACACGGTAACGGTTCGCTGCATTATTATTATCCAATGGATTATCTTACAAAATAGGTTGATCTAGTCATCGCTAATCAACGTCTATACAAACGCTACTAATTTGTGATTTTTTACTTCAGTCTTACCGGTCTAAACCTCGACTTGTGAATTAACTAACTACTTTATTGCCTCGTATGATATTGCAAAGTTGATTTTTAATCACGTGGAACAGACATTAATGGTGTATAATCAGTTACCGCGTTGATTTATCGCGAAACAGCATAGTTTAATAAAATTGTGGTCGAAAATAGATAGATCGCGCTTGTCTGTTACCTGGAGTCTTCTAAGAGAAGTATGGTGTTCGTAGAGTCTACGTGATTCAGGTGCTCCTCAATCCGTCCCTCGCTTACGACTAGAACAGTCGCGTTTGTGAATTTCGAGAAGAATCCGTCTTCCGGTATGCCAATATGCACGATGTGCGACGTTAAATCTGTTTCGGAATTATGATAACGTTCATTGTTATTTATTCGTTTTTAATTGTGACCAAGAGAATGAAAGTTCACCGTCGTCATCGCCATCGTAGATGAGAACGCAGAGACCCTTCTGGATAGCAGCCATCGTGAGCTTTTTGGCGATGTTTTGAGTATCGTCGTCGCCGTCTTCGTCGCCGTCTACCACCAGCGAGAACGATTTCCACTTCATTTCCTCTATGACCTTTAACGTGCCCTGGGAAAAGGAAGATCGTAGTTCGCCAGCGCAGCAAATTTCAGGATGAAACGAAATTTATTGAGTCCCCTCCTCGAGTTAGTTTCGGATTAGCGGGAAATAAATGATTCGACCGAGAATTTCTTTCATTATAGTCAGCGAACCGTGTTTAGGGTGTTACTTCCTCTTAATCTTTAGCCTGCCTTCGCGACGGGGAATGATACTGTTTTTTGCCACGATATTTCATTGATACGAACCGTCTTCAGACTCGAATCAGTCGGATTCGCAATTGATAAAAAAACTAGGTTGTTGCTTCGTGCGCTTTCTTATAATCGCACGACCTAGTTGCACCTCATGCGAATCGTTACGAAAAATAGCCGTTTCCATAGTCGGATGATTATGTTACATCCTTTTCTCTTTCAACCGCGCGTCTATAAATTGTTTTTAATTATTATGAAACTCGTGTGAACATTTCCTGAGGTAATTATTAATAATGAGCGACAGTCATTCGCAGTCGATGCATATGATTATCCAATTATGATTTAAAAACTTTAAACTTGAAGATAGAAGAATTATAGCAGAAATTATATTTATGCCTAATTTACTTAATCATGATGTTGATTATTCTTCACTGCTGACTCAAATCAAGTTCAATGCACCTATTCGAAGTCTACGACCTTTCAAAGCTTTTTACATTTATAGATATAATTCAAGATTTCGAAATGTTAGAATAGCCTCGAAAACAAATAAACTATACCACCTGTTTGATTCAATATTCAATAACTTTGGGCATGTCATTAGACACAATCTTTATGCTCACTTCCAAGATGCTCTACATTGATATTTTTTCAATTTACTATCTGATTATGTAATTCTACGTATAAGATTTACTTTTCATTCGCATAAAAAAAGAAGGAATATCTTTATATTATTGTTATTTTGATTATTGTGATCATTATATTGCTTTGTTCGTTCAAGGCCTCAATCTTACTGATGTCCTGTTCGTTTTTATGAAATGGGTTCTTGAAACCCGTGAAATAAATAAATAAATAAATAAATAAATGAATAAATAAAAAGGGGTCAGTCGCAAAATTACCTGAATCAGATAAGAATCGGATTCCTTGGCGAGATAGTGAAGGTACGGGGAGGTTGATTGTCGCCTAACGATATGTGGCACTTTCAATACTGACGTTATCTTATGTACGGCTTCCGCATTTGTCGATGTGTCCGGGCCAATGATTCCTAAAGAAAAAAGTAGCGCATTGACCATACGCATAGACGAACACTTACGAAGTCCCGCGCGTTACCTGATTTATAATAATTTAATATTTTAACTATTAATATTCGTACTTTGAGTATAAATATTTTTTCCACGAAAAACATGTGATTTTTATCGTTCTAAATGATTGTAACGTTAAAAACTCTAAACAATCGTCGAAGATCTTGATTCGTGAGAAAGAACGCGTAATACGATTTGTCCGTGACAAAGAAAAAAGTGGAACGCGATTAGTAATTAATGTATTCGGAGCGCGGTCGTAAATTTTACGTTAGAATTTTACGATTCCATTAATTATTATGAGCAACGGCAATATGGAAACGAGGCGAGAAAAGATCTTTTGTATTTTCCTCGTCGCGCCGCGCCGAGCCAAGAAAATCCCGTGATTGACGCGAGAAGTTAAAAGGTTTACCCAAGTAGTACGGTGGTTGCAAGCAGTTGGTGTCCGCCCCGACGAGAGCCTTCATGCTCGCTTTCAGAGCACCGGATATGCTGCCGCACGTATCCACCACGGCCAGCTCTGCGAACATACCAAAAGTCGTACTGTGCAATTAAATAAATTAATTGCTTCTCCTACATAAGAGATCAGGATACACGATTGAAACGATTAATAATTAGTACAAGTTCCACAGAGAATTGCTGCTGATGAGGAAGTAGTTCGCTTTGTAATCATTATACTAAAATATTCCACTCGCGGTGACTACGTTCACTTTCAATCAATGAAACTATTGAAGTCGAAAACAATTCATGTTGACCGAGGTGCTTATTACAACGGGTATATAATCGATACATTAGACATCAATATCCACTGATTTATTCTACTTGGACAAGAATGTCTCCTTGACACCGTTACTTTTTCTTCTTTCGTGTTAGACTTTTCTCGTTTTTTCCGCTTTTATTCTTCTCCTACCTATATCCAACGGCATGCGCTTTGTTCTATAAAGCGCTCTGCTCGAATGCATTTTTCGAATAGCAATCTACGATCTAATTGCGAGAAACAAAGATTGACGTCGATTTACCGATATCATAGCCGGCTGACTTATTGTTGTATACTTCCGTGATTAATTTCGCGGCTTCGTATAGAAGAACGCCTCTCGCAGACACCTTCTTGCAGGCTGGATCATCGTGGATGGTGGTCAGTAACGATACCTGAGCGTGATTACCACATTCTGTGCGTCCACCGCAAGTGCACGCGCAGATTATTCCGATTATCACCAAAGAAACTTGCAGTTTGCCCATCTTCGATATTCACTCGCGCATTACTCGCACGTTTTCCCTCTTCGAACTGCCCAGTTTCTCGTTTCTTAATGTTCTTAATATCCAAGATTCTTTGTACGTTGGGCGTTTGTACACGGTGGGTAAATATGAATTTTTCGTCACCGAAATAACACGCGACGCGGACCGCGCGTTCCGTTTCCGGGACCGATGGCCGCAACGGGATTGCGTTCGTCGGCAAGCTTCTTCTCGAACTGCGGACCTTGGTAGTGAAAACCGAAAGCTTTATAAGGAAGCCAAAGCGACATGTATTAGGCGAATTTCTAAGGTTTTAGGCCCCGCGATCGCGCGCGACAGCCGTTCTCAAGACCGACCTTGTTACGTCTCTCCCCTCGCCGTCGCGTTAGCCCTTCTTCGATCCGATCGAACGCGGAAACATTTTTTTCAAGTTCCATCTTTCCTAAGTATAAAAAATTTCATCCTGCTTCGCTCTATGTAGTAACTTTCGTAATAAGAATCAAAATCTTTAGACCTTTTCAGTCGAGTGTCTATCTTTGATTATTTTCAAACTCTTAGGCGATTCGATAGGGAAGACGTGGAACGATCGTTTGATTTTGCGAATAAGTTTTGCGTAGGGAAATGGTAAATTTTTAGAACCCATCTTAATCGAGGGTAAGCTCGTTAGCATCGCGTATCGACTGACAAGACCTTAAATCCTAGTTGCACAACGTATCCCCATTGCATAACCCGTGACAATGCAACGCCGCCGTGTAATTAGTATGCATCATCGTCCGCGTTTTTGTTTCGAAAAGTCTTGGGAGACAACAAACGGTACCAAACGCATATTTCCAACGTGTCTTCTTCCTCGGTTCAACTTCGAGCCGAACTTTGCCTGACGTTGCAATTGAATCGTTCATTAATCTGCGGATTTTATGTATTTGTAGAAGAATGATACTTCTAGAAAATATAAACTACAAACGATGCAGATGGTTACGCAAAATATCAAAAGCTGAGCGTGTATTCGATTGTCCTTATAAATAAACGTTTAATATTCCATGAAACCCGACACCCATCTATTCTTAAGTGAACGAATGATTTTTTTAATGAATAAATTGCTACAAAATGGAGAAATTATGCATGATACCTGTACGGAATTCTGTTTGGCGCGTTAAGGAGGAGTCATTGAGAATTAGACTTGCAAATATTATGCAGGTTGGTCCGATTGGTTGCGATCGGGAGCAGAGGGAGATAGAAAAATCTCTGTTTAGAAATGAACCGTGGAAGGGCGTGTAACTTCCCTTCGTCTTGTGTAACCGATCTTGACAATTTCATCAGACTTACAACGCCCATAATTTTCATATTATTCACGCCTCGGCTTTATGTGCTTCACACTTTTTTTTCTTTACATATTTATCGAGTATTTTTATTTCGCGACACATACCTTCGACGGTTTTTCTGCTCTTCTAGTTGAATCTTGTTCAAACCTACCAAGGAAGTCTTCTTTACTTTTAAAAATTGAATACGCGAACAGCTTCATAAAAAAAGGGTGTAATTACGTTATCCGCGTAATAGCGTGTCGAATATAAATAAAATATAAATATAAATTTATTTGAAGATCGTAAATCACTGTTACTTGGTTTGTTCTCGATTGTAAAAGTCTGCGATTAAAAGTTTTCCGTTCACCATTACACGCACAGGCCTCTCGTTTTCCAGCCGCCATCGGTGCATAGTTTTCCACCGTGTAATCCCCTCTAAACAAAACTCGCAAGTATTTAAGTGTAATTTTGCGTGTTGGCGGCATTTTTCGGATTCCGCGTTGTCGCGTGTCCGAGGATTAAAAAAAGAAGGAAGCGGCGAACATCGCGTTCTGGCGAAGATGATTACTCGCGTTTCACCTTGAATCGTAATAACGGATAACGTATGCTTACGAGTCGTAAGTATATGCCTCTTAAATGAAATCCCTCAGGAATAGGAGATTATTTATTTACATTTACGTAATAGAATGTTGCGGTGTATGCGTTTCTTAACGCGCCGCGTTGATTGGGCAACAACCAATAGCCCAAGCCGAACGTGATGCAACCGATGGCCCGATATCCCGATGAGAAACTCGGATAATCCGGGAAAATGGAAACGAACTTGGCGAACTTTCAACGAGTGCAAGAACATAGTTCTAGATGCTGGTTTAGATAGTCGGGAAACTAGAGCTTGTTCTTGCTCCAATTTTATAAGTAAAACCTGTATTACTATCCCCTCGGATCGGCATGCGCGCTGCATACAATTCAGTAATCGAAAGAATGCATGCTAATCGCGTTCTATCGCAAATTGGATGGAAACCCGCGATGAGAAACAACAAAGCAGGTGGCAGTAGAAATCAGTGAGCGGGTGGAAGCGTGTAACTTTGCTCTCCGCGTGATGCATCACGTTAGCTGGCGCCACCGATCAAACTCTTGCAAAGTAATCCGTAAGCTCTCGATCAAAATGCGGAACAACCTCGGCGCGAGATAGAACATTTTCGACGGTTTTAAAAATATATGAAGAACTCCGTGAAAAATATTAATCGATCGATCACCGCGGCTAGAATAATTCTATCAGCGCTCGGCCGTGTAGTCGATTCGTCACTCCTTTTGAAAAGCTTGTAAAAAGAGAGCGAAAAAGGAAGACGAATGGCGAGAGGTTGATGTACGTTTGCGTCACGAGCGCGGCGTTACTTAGGTTGGCCCGGGACCAACAATAACAGCGAAACTTTTAAAACCGCTGCCTATACACTCTCCCGCGAATCTTCTTTTAAACACGGTTCCGCGACTCGCGAACGCATCTCGTCTGTTTATCCATACATCTGTTCGAACCGCTGTAAATCTTTCTCCGCGTTGTACACGGCAAGATCCGAGCGAGGGTGGTAACGCGCAAACGATCGACCGATGCGCTGGTCCACATCGTTTTCCATTTTCCGCGCGAAACAGTTTTGCATTGTTTAGAAAAAATAGAGAAACGTTTGTCTCCTCCTTTCTAAACAGGAGATTTTTAGAAAAATATAAGTCGGTAGTCGTAAATCAGATCCTCGGTGATAAATGAAAAGCGTAGGAGGACGGAAGACGTTTGTTTAGATTGTTGGACGTTGTACCTATTCCTATTTCTCCCGTTGGACGTCGCTTAACGTGTAACGGGTCAGGCATCGGTCGAGAAAAATAATATTTTTCCTTTACGGAAACACGCGTGAATAAATCAGAAATTTCGGCGAGACCCTTAAATCACGCGGTCGATTTTTAGTCGACTAGAAAAACACTGTCGAATGGTTCCTTTTAAACCACGAAATCCAAAGAAAAACTGATAGCACTCGAAGCGAGCTCGACTCTCGCGAATATTGTTAAGAACTTTAAAAGCGTGCTTCTGCATCTGCCAGAGAGAAGCGATGATAATTTATGAATGCAACGTACAATTCTGATCGCGGCGTTCGTTTGATTCCAGGTCCAGAAAGATGTCGAATGCGCACCATCACATTCAGAGAAATGGTCGTCGTTTGATGATCGGCGAAATGAGAGATCGATCGACCAGGTACGCGTTTAAAAATTTAATTTATTCGATTCTTCCACTTCCCGTTTCGCATCCAATTATTCGTAGAGATATATCCAATAAGCCAGTGTTATTACTGACCGCTGGCATTCGATCTCAGCGAGGAGTCACGCGTGGCCCACTGTACGATTGATAAATTCACTGCGAGTGTCCGGCGTCATTACCGCCTTCTTATTCGGTGATCGACGAGGGACCCGGAAGCGGAGTGTCCATTTATTTTCGTGAATCTCGCGAAAATTGAGAAGATGCGATGTATCGAGTCTCGCTCGCTTCCAAATTTCTCTTGGGATTTCGTTCCCCATTGTGCGATCTACGTGAATACTGGCCAATAGATATGCGTAACTGCGTTCCCGTCTCTCTTTGCGCCACGTAAAATAGAAAACCCGTGTGAAAGAATTTCTCTTTTACGGCAATGAAGGTTAAAAATAAGTTTGATGAAACGGACTAGATGGAAATATCACTCTGTCACGCGTTGACAGCGATATTCAAACGAGTCGATTTTCCCTGATCGTTCTTTGAACTCTTTGACGTCGACTATAAAGACGGTAAATCGGAGTTTGCAAACCGAGCGACGCCAAAAGCGTCGTCGCCAATTTAGTCTACGATTCCGTCATAGAATTCGTTACGTAATGTACATGTTAAAAACTGGGGGGAAGCGTTTTGAGAGGTTCTAAACGAAATTTTTCCTGGCATGGCATCGATCTTCACGCCTGCGGTCGTCATTAGCCAGGCATTCAAGCATCCGTGTCTCATTGACAAAGTCGCGTACATATATTATACCTACGTACATGCATATGTATATCCTGGATTGAAGCGGCTCACGGGGCATTGCGAAGCGGACCGAGATGAATTAATATAACAAGTCGTCCTCCGTATAATCCATGCCGGAATTTCAAAGGAGCCGAGATATAAATTAACGTGTGTGCACGATTCTCCGAATCACAACGTAATTAAGGTGTCCCTCATTGCATCGTAAACGCGTTTCGCGAACGGGAAATTGGACGTTGTATAAATTCCATACTTTTATCACGAAACAGGGGCGGTGAACGAACAGTTTCGCCAAAGACAAATGCGAAATCCGCGCCGCACCGATCCTGGCAAAAAGTTTGTATGATACGTAGAACGACAGATCGTTCTTCTATTTTTAACCGATGGACAGGTATTCGATAACCCGGATAACGACAGGATACGTCGTGATGCCAATGGAATGTTTCGAATTGCAAACATACCGCGCGGCTGATCCGCGTCGATCCGAAAGAGTACCGCGAGTGAAACGCGTGGGAATGTGCTTGGATTCCTAATACGGGATTCTATTTAAAAGCGTATACACCTTTGAGTGACAAAGGTAAAACGTAGCTACACGGACGTTCGCTTTCGAAATCGAAACGCATCGGAGAAATAAGGCTCCGCTCGATTGCGAACGAAGGAGAAAGGAATCTTACTGTGAATCTTCGAAATATAAGATATACAATCCAACAAACCAGATGTAACTGTATAAGAATAAAAATTCCGGGTCTTATAAAGAATCGGTATTCTTTATAAGTTAAGAAGTATTTTTTGAATCTGTATCTACGAAATGAAAGCTCCGTCGATGGTACGGTATTATAAAGATATCTCGAAAGACACGCGAAACTGGAATGGAACTCGAAATCGAAACAGGAAAATTAATACGCTCTAGTCCGATAAGAATGATTGTTCTCTCAGCGTGGGCGTCGAATAGCGCAAGTTCGAAACAAATCTCTCTCTCTCTCTCTCTCTCTCTCTCTCTCTCCCTCTTATTCTCTTTCTCGATCAAAAGATCTATTAGGATCGGTGTCCAATCTTTTCCGCTATTTCGGGTTAAATCCGTGAAACTCCTTTCGTCGCGTGGCCGTGCACGTCAGCGCGCATAAACATCGTACATTAAATCCTCTTTTCGACTCCGTATCTGCCTGCGAACAGCGCCCGTTTCTCTGCAGAGTCAAATTCAAAGTTATCGCTATTATCCTTCGACAAAGTAATCCGATTTTCATAGGTGCCGAGTTTATGTATCGTTGGAACGTTTTCAGAAATTGGATATCGAATGAAATTGATTACAGTTTGAATGTAAGAGAATTCTATCGTGCAGCATTTTGGCTGTCGAAGTACCTATCGTACATCAGTACTATTTATGTCAAAGGCAGCACATTGCAAGTTCCGTTTCTTTTAATAACAATACGGAAACCGCGATCCATTTCGCATCGATGGAAACAGTAAGTTTGGAATAATAGAAAATGGAGAAAAAGTTCGGCTCGGGGGTGAACAGCGCGGCGTTATCAAAACGCGCGTGCGAGGGGATAAAAAGACGGCCGGCGTGGCGCACGCGCTGGGGAGGGAAACGCGTTCGGGAATCGTGGCGGGCCAAGCGACGTTCATTCAGTTCACCAACACTATTTGTTCGCTACGGTCGCGACCGTCGTGCATCCTCGCTCACATTTCCGTGGACATCCGCGTTAAACTCTCCCGGCGACTCTCACGTATCGTTCGATTCCACGTACTTCAGCGATTTCCCTTCTGTCGAAAGGAACGCGAGCGGAATTCAGGAGTTTCGAAGTATCGTCCGTAAAAATCGTGTCTATAACCGAGCTAAGAAACTTTGCGGAACGCCGTGAATCGACGACCCGATGAACGATTAAGGATCGCGATTGAAAAAATGGGAAAACAATTCTATCAGAGATAAGGGGTGATGATACGATGAAAGGTCCTCTTTTCGTTAACCGGGACGGTTACGCTGCGAAATTATCGTCCAAGTTCGAAGTTGCGGTTCGGAAACCATTTCTGTTAGTGACTGGGGCCAGGGTATGTCGTCTGATTGATCGAACGTGGAACAGAGAACGCGGGGGAGATAAACATAGATACCGAATCGATTTTCATAGAACAGAAATTAATTGATGTTAATTAATAGCGGCGATGTGAATAATCCGCTTCGCAGACGCGTTTACTGAGATACAGACCGGGAAAGGTTTATACCGCGAGATTTAATGGGATATTTATCTCACGGTACGCTCATTCGTAACTCGTGACTCAAGCTATTCGATTCTACGACGAAACGGGAACATTCCACTAGTTTTATAAGTAGCTGATCTCTTGATCCTTATTTACTGTTCACAAATCCCGCGGTAAAGTATTTGATTGTTATCCCTACGGAATTCGTCTTTGGAGAAGTTAGGAAACTGCCGGCTGAATGATTAATCCGGGAAGAAATAGCTAGGTTTAATTCAGTCGAAACTAAAGTCGGAAGAAAGCGGGTGGTCGAGGTTGATTAAATTCGAATGGACCGTCTCGAAAGGAATGACGAGTACGTGGGTGAAATGGAAAGCTTCGCGCGTCGCGGCTGGAACGACTAATTACCGGTTCGGGTTAGAACCGAGTCACCGTTTTTCCGATAACGAACGACGTCCGTTCGCGGCAGACAAGCGAACGACTCGCCCGTCACGAAGGAGCAGTTTATAATGTCACTGAATACCGTCGCGTTAACGAAAGCCCGGAAGTTAAAGGAAAACGTAACCGGTGCTCGCGCGACAGTGTTACCCCTCATGCATTTTCTTCGGTTTCCCTGCGCGTGTTCGGGGTTCAGTACCGATTTTCGATCGTTGCGATTCGCGAGATGTTGCCCACCGTATCCGGAATCCCGCTCCACTTGAATTCGTCGTACTACGATACTGGGAACGACAGCTTGGACGCTCTATCGGGTACGAAGTCCCCATTCGATGTTACTTTTATATTCCGTTCTGGCTATAGAATTAATTAAAGCGGTATAATAACGCGTATATATGTACAGCGGATAGAAGGCTCGGGATGAATGTTTCAGCGAACAAGTCCGAGAATGCCACCGTCGATCTCTACATGCTGCCGGCTTACATTCGCACCACGTCGATGATCGTGTGCATCGTGGTGATGGTCCTCGGCATAATTGGCAATCTCATGGTAATCTTTTATCTCGTCGATCGCAGTTTAGTTATAGCTTTCCGATAGTTAAATACCGCACGGAATTTAATAAACGAGAATGAACGACTTTTCGTATAATTTTATCCATTATAAAAGTCGATCTATCGCGAGATTATTAAATGTGAAGCGTTGCGAATCTGATTGCACCGCTTCAGGTACCGTTGGTCGTGTTTCGAGGCAAGGATATGAGGAACAGCACCAACATCTTTCTGGTGAACCTGAGCTTAGCCGATCTGTGCGTTCTTCTCGTCTGCACGCCGACCGTCCTCGTCGAAGTTAACTCGGGACCTGAAATCTGGCCCCTCGGCGAACATATGTGTGAGTAATATATATATTTTCGAAGGAGCGAACAGCGATTCTTTCATTCAGTACATTCCTCGGCATTATTTTTCTCCTCAAATACTTCTAAACCGTTGGACTTACGGGAGAATTGCATACGACCATATTCGTAGCTGGCAACTATAGCTACAATTTTTATCTGAAGCATTTTCCTCTAGCATCGATAGGTAACGAGTATTTTGCAATAAACTGTTTTATCGTTTTTTTTTTGTCAAAAAGTCGTTAACTATTGACGTTAGCGAAAAATGTTTCCGATAAAAGTTGTAGCTCTAGTTATCGGCTACAAATAAGATCGTATGCAATTTCCCTGTAGGCAGGTAGGAGTATTTGAGGAAAAACGAAAATTTCGCAAAAATCTGCCTTTGACAGAATTTTAAAAAAATATATTTTCTTGAAATTTCGGAAAATGTTTTAAATACAAGTAGTAAGTATTATTATTATTACTTACAAAAATGGTCATATACAATTTTCTTTTATCTCGAATGCTTCAGGACTAATCATTTAAGTATTTCGTTCATCGCCAATTATTCCTTAACGAGTAGAGTTAGAAAGAAATTGCGTAGGTCTTTTTTTTGTATCTGGCAACTGTTCAGCACCGACGAGTGTTTTGCTTTCTATTTCTTACTTCGGTGGCAATATATTCTAGAAGCCGTCAAAAATTGCAGACTTTTTCCTGCGACAGAAAGTCCATAAGGCTGCCACTCTTTAGTAATCTCTCCTCGGTGTCATGGCTATACTATGTATGTATTGGTTCTATTAGTACATCGTATCATTTACGGTGCGTACATCGAACGTAAAATCATCGGCAAGCGACGATTAATCTGATGCGAACGGGATTCTGCTACTCTCCATTAACTATCTCCTCATCGTTTCACACGGATTCAAATTCGGTTTCGGATTCCGATTCGTATTTCACTCGAGCATGGAAAATCTATGCTATCCTTAATTCAATTCGCTGGATTTGGCGGCATTTCGTTGGATATGGGCCAGCAAACCGTTTGAAAGCGTTTCATCGTTTGTCGGCAAACGTTCGTGACGCGATGGAAATCCGGGTGAAATTAGCAAATTACTTATTGCTCTCGTCTGTGGACCACTTTAAAAAATTGCGAGTACGAGTTGAAACATCAAAAAATGAAATAGTTTCCTGGAATTCTTTCATATGGTAGATTTTTTACCTCGCACACGCGTAGTCTCATAATTTGAAATAATTTTTATCACCCGTGAAAAACGGCGGTTTGATAATTTCCTAAATATTCCGTTTGAGCAGCGAGCGTACGAGGGATGACGTGTTCATCGATCGAGAGACGAGCACGCCTGTTTATGAAACATCTCGTTCATGAATTTCATTTAATCATAAAGATTCGAATCTGTCGAGCGGAATCTCGATGACGAAATGGTCGAGATTATTCCGGGCCATCGGCGTTCGCAGTCGGAAAATTAATTCGTCCGACGAAGAAAAAAATCTTGTCGGAGCTCTTTTTTAATCAACGCAAAGTGGTCGGCTCATTTTTTATCGTCTTTGAAATTTTCATTAGCGTTCCAGAGTTCCGTTCCATCGGCTAATGTAAGAAAAGTGGCGTCGTGAGATTCGTCGAAGTTAATGTATGATGGATCGTAACGCGTATGTGCATGCAACGTGTTGTATGCGAAAGGTTGTAGACACGTGGCGTCTTTCGCCAAATATTAAAATTTGTATTGCTTAACGCGTGTCAGCGCTAACGGTATCGATATCAGGGCATAGAGACAGGTTCTCTGTATGCAAGGATACTATGCATTCCTCCCATGTATACCGAATGTCCTGGAAACGAGGTCGATGAATTTCCATCGCGTTTCCCACTCATGGAAATGCACGAAACGTGTCCTTAGTCGTCACCAGAGACGCAATTAGTGAGTCGGCAATCTCATTTGAAATTAATCCGTTCCTCCGGTTTCAAAGATTCTACCCTGATAAAACTTTGATTCCTCGCCAAAGTATGGTTGCGAGATATCACCGATGAAACAGTTTCCGCTCTTACGTTTCTTCTCTACTTCCGGGAATTCTATGTTGGTCTCGAATCGCACCGTGCACTTCGCCGCGTAATGCGTTCAGAACAAAGCGTCAACAAAAATTTCGAGCAAACTCGGCGATAGTAGAAAGTTGCGAAAATCAGAAATCGAAAACTATTTTTCGTTACGTCGCGCGATATTCTCGAGCCTCTGCCCCAGTTTTCCCAGAGATCATCATTATTCATGCACGATCGACGTATCGGAGGAAAACCTACGCGTGCACTTCGCCCATGAATTTCGCAATATGTTCCAAGATTAATGTATGCGTACAATGCCCATCCAAAAATCGAGAGAATAATTTAGTCTGTCGAGGATTTCCTCGAAAACTAATGACTATACGTTCCACGGGATTCTAGTGTAATCGTCGCACTGGGTAAGTTGTCCGTTCGTTCCTGATACTTGGTAACATTGTACTTAAAGTTTACGAGCCGTTGTTTCCTTCGACTGCGCGCGATAGATTAAAGAGAGTTCAGAAACTTCTTTCGGATCGCAAATTTCCTATACTGAAAACTTTCGACTCTCCAGAATTGCCGATTCGCAAGTGTTTGCGTAACCGAAACTTCCGCGCAATGATAATTTCAGTTCCCGCATTTTATTTCGACTCGGTGAGTTATCGTTCTGTTACCATCGTTACCCATAGCGATTTATTTATCCCTAGCTGCTCTGATCCCCTTTCTACCATTCTTACTTCAACCGTGCGAGTTGGTGAAATATACAGCCGAGGGATTACCCCGTTCTCGCGATCTTTTGTTACTCGCAGCAGCTTTAAAAGCTTCGCCGGGACGAAAGAAAGCGACGAAGGATCGTTGCAGCTATACGTATTTCAGAACAAACTATTCTGGAATTTCTGTTCGGGGTCTCGAAATCGTACATGAAAAATGGTCCCCGGGACACGATATTATACTCGTCTGTTTATTTTTTCGCGTCGCGACAAAGCACTCTCATTACGAGGATCGGTCGAATGCAGAAAAGGGAGGGAACCTTGATGGAATCGAGCTTCCATGGGGCATGTACACGAGATGCGGTTACCAAGAGAGACGAGGGGTTGCATTCGGGGGTTGCTCCACGGGAATAGCGTTTAGGTTTAGCCTTCTGGGTTTTACGAGCCGCATACGGTTCGCGTTAAGACGCTTCCCTCTTCACGGGGTTGTCGTCTCCCCTGCTCCCTTGCATTCTTCGCGAGCTTCTTCGGGAATTGACCTAATCGAATAGCCTGTATCCCCTTTGTAAGACTCTTTTATCGGTAGGCCACGAACTTAAATGCAAAATGAAATCTGTTTTCTGACTTCTCTCACCCTTCGAAACGAACGATCCGTTCTGCGCATATATAAATGAATAAACGCCATGGTTGTCGATGTTCGAAATGTAGGCGTGGAATAAGGTGTTTAAAATATCGGGTTTCGCATTTAATACGATAATGAATAAAATGATTATCGGGGTATTTGTCATTCGGACAAGGTAATTGCGTAGTCATTTCTAGGAGGTAATTGGGTTTCGTTGACACGGTCACCGAGGTCCGTGAACAGCAATTTAATCGACACGGCGTTGAACATCGCCCGAGCGGACCTGCGATTATTAGGATCGTCGCCGTAAAATTTCAATTCTATCAGACACCGCACGCCGCCGCGCCGGCTTTCACCTCGCTTCATGCTGACTTTCATTATTCGTGGTGATCGACAACGTCAACCGCCATGCCCGTGTATTGTAGCGTCCCGTGATATTTAAGGCGTGAATGATTCTTACTTAAGGATGTATTGGCTATATAGTTAATCCAAAAAGTTTATGTACCTTAGAAAAACGCATTTCCTATAATCAAAAATAAATCAAATGATGGAGGAACAATGATTTTGGATGAAAAGAGCTTACTTGTTAACGTTCAATTGGTTTTT